GATATCGCATTCATTCATGCGATATCAATCCAATGCGAACGCAGCGAGCTATATCACCCAGATTAATGTTGTATTATGACTCTGATTGTATTTGAGCTCATTTTATTTGTATGTCCTTGGAATTTTCGTTCGTATTTCATATTGCTATCAATGCTATGTATGAGTTCTGAAATCGTATTATACTTGAGAGAGATTCATGCCACACAGCCGTGCATAAGTATTATTCATTGACTCGGGATTTCAAGCAGTTCGTGTCGATAGGAATAGCAAAACAGATATGAAACCCGACCCGAACCGAAATTCGGGCTCTCTATCGCTGACATTTTTGTTTTTAATAAATATATGTTTATAAATATTATATACTGAAACTATGGGTGGATACTAAACTAAGGAATACTTGTTATAAAATAAGTATTATTATTACTGCTCGTAAGAACTCCTAAATAAAATATGAAATTTCGGGTTTGCTTCGGACTCGGACCTGAAAATCCAGTTAATTAATTAGGCTTAGTCGGGTCCAATACCCACAGGCCTGGGTCGGGCCCCGCTGGAATTTTTGGGCCCGATTTTACCTCTAGTACAGATATGTCCGATTGGATTACCTTGCATCGCAGACTATTCATTTCTGTGTCCGCTGTATATTTACGTCTTGTTTTGTAAATAGTGATGACCATTTCGTGAGGTCAGAAATAGAACGACTATCTGTTTACAAAATAAGGACAATGATAAGAAAAATTTGAGTTATTTTACTGAAATGTGTTATTTTGTAGTATCCGATTTAATCGAAAACGTCGACATTTTCAGAGTAAGACTGAAACGTGTCGAAAACAAGTAGTTACGCATTTCGGGAATTCGGTGGCGGTCATTAACTGTAAATAAACCAGAATTGTGACGCCATATTGCAAAAATGACGCCATAATTGCAATTATAAGGAGGAAATGCAGCATGGCGGCGTTTTCACTGTAAGTTAACAAGTTGTATATTTCCTAAAGTTATCTTGCATGGCTGCAAGTAGATATCAGTGGCGATAGCCTTGTTCGTAGGAAAAGGCACAAGTAAGCGTCGCATTACGTCATTATACACCCCCCCCCCCTCTCTCATTTTACACTGGGTACGCTCTTTAACTGATTGTCTGCGGGAGTCTGGCGGAAAATTTACGTGAAACTGCAATGCCTTTGAGTCAATCTAATTTTGCTCTTGAAAATGCCCGGGCGGAAACAAACGTATGACGTAACTTACTGTTTGCAAATCTATTGCCGATAGCAATTAAATACTCCATGTCAAGTGGCTTCTTGACTTAAATATAGTTTTAATTATCGGAAAAAGTCTAAATTTGCATTTTTAAGAACAGAAATGTTATTTTTACGAAAACTTTTTATGACGGCATTCCAGAGACGTAACGAGACCATTACGGGATTTTCAACATTTCGAAAACGCGTTTTTCTAACTTTCCCGGTCAAAGAAATCAGTTAATTCACTCGTTTTCACATGAGCTATGTCATTCATGTTCTGATGTTGTCGTCAGTTACAGTATAGGAGAGACATTGTATGAGATTTTTTATATTTCGAGTACGAATACACGCTTCTTGGAACACGTTTTTTATCAACTCTTCCGGCCAACGAATTCAATCCATTTACTTGTTTTCTCATGAGCTATGTCTTGTTTTTCTGTTGTCATCGTTTACAGTAATAGACGTTTCCCCGACCCTTGACCCCTGAAAAAATTCTTCCTATACTTTACCAATGCAAAATTTTTAACGCTGATTTTGAGAGTGTTTTGGATAGTTGGCGCTTACAGACTGGTTCACTTGCTCAAAACTATCATTTTTATTCAAAACAATAAACCACGTGCCGCTGAGACCCCCAAAATCAGCTGAATAACTAAAATCATCATAGACCGACAAAATTATCTGTGTTAGCCGCGGTATCAGCTTCAACGTACCGCCAGTAATAGGTCTATGTTCCCGATCAAAAATAAAATTTTCAATGGTGGGCTATTGGTCTTTATTTCAGTGTAGGTGTGATTAACATGTGAGAACTAATCTGTGTTAAACTCAGTGATATATTTACAAAGAGGCGAGAGAGCAGCCAGCCCGGGATTTGGGGAGGGGGCAAACTTTTTGTATAATGACGTAATAAGACGCTTACTCGTGGGTTTTGCTCCGAACAAGGCTAGATAAAAGCAATTTCAAAAAAAGTGTTTTACAATCTGTAGTTTGCGACTCAAAATTAGGTCGCCTGAAAATTTTCTTGCAAAATCTAAAAGTTACTGCTTCTATTCTCTACCAATTTATAATGTTATAGTAATTGTATATGGCAAGTATCACAGCGTAAAAAACTTGGCATCTGTTGTTATTAGTTCGTCAGTTCATTTTGTGATTAAATATTTAAGGCATAAGCACTACACATGGTCTAGTATTTGAGCATATACTTGGGTAAGGGTTAGTGATTTTTCAAAATTTATTTTTCATAAAATTTGTGTCCCTTGAAAAAAGGGGGTTGGGAACCACTGCTCTTGAGGTAGGGAATTACCTCAAAATAGTTTTCTGTTGAGATTTCAGGTCTCCCTTGCGAACATGCCTATATGTAGGCAGTCACTTATTTATAGACATATATGTGCCATACATGGTTTAGGGGTAAATCTAATACTAGGAACACTCAAACTGGCTGATTGTCAAAGCCCAATTGTCTACAGTTGAGAACTTCTCTCTGTGAAACCATGAATGCGCGCTAAAACCGAGAAGTACTTGATTATAAAAGCAATCGACACTCAAGGAGCAAGATAAGTGGGAAACGGTCTTTAATACTTTGCCCTAGGAATTTAAAAAGTAAACTTCAGGACTTTGGGAAGTGCAGAGCGTTTTTGCTAGATTTGTGCTTTGAATGGAATTATGGAGTATTGGGTTTTTAAAAACATCTAATAGTGTTACTAGCTTAATATCGGCCAATGTAGATAGCACTGAAGATAGATATTGTCGTACAGTGTGGGTTTTGTATTTTGCTGTTACTGGAGTGAAATTATTTATATAAAAAATTGACATTTGGGGCGTTAGGCAATGTGGAAAATTTTTTCTAGGTTTGTACTTCGAAGGGAATTAATCAGCATTCGGTTTGCAGAAAATAATTTTATTATAAAAACTAGATTACAGTTCCTGAGCTAAGTAAAATTACTTTATTTATTGACTCGGATGTATTTTCTGCTTGTCAAATTATTATTGCCCTTGGTTGATTCTTTAGTTTTAACAGTTACAAAATTAGCCAAGTCAGTATTTTGATAAGTAAACAAAAAGCGCGGAGGCCCTAGGTTTCTTTCACGAAGCCTCCGGGCTCTGTACGGAGCACTTTGAAAACATATGGTGCATATTGCAAAAAATATTGACACTCAATTTATTACATTATTATTGGGTATTGTAAGATTGATGAAGTGGATAGAGTCGAACTTTAGCGGTTTTACTGTTATTAGCGATTTGAGTGAGATCTGGGAATGAAATGTTCGTTGAAAACGATTTCTTGGTGACCGTACATTTGAACCCATGTACATTTGAACCCATGCGTATATCCACGGGTTCAATCTATATGCGGGTGCTAAAACCCATGGGTTAGGGTCAGTATGGGTTTAACTATCCGTGAAACAAAAAAAATTCCATAGGTGCAATAACATACAGGTGCAATTGTCATGGGTTCAAATGTACGTGGGTTCAAATGTAATGGAACCCGATTTCTTATGTGTTTAGCATTTAGCATTCTTAGCCTGGTATTTTTAACCAGGGATCCAGTCTTAAAGTCTGTAGCCTGGCATGTTCTTATTGACATTGGATTATTCAGAACCGCAGTAAAGGTATTTTTAGTCCTACTATCACGGAACCCCTTTGTTTTTAAGCGTGCTTACCGTTATTGGGGACGAATATTAAAAATTGTCGGATATAATTTTTTGTGAGTTCTAGTTTTCTGAGCAAAAAATAGAAATCGAAAATTTAAAATTGCGTAACCAAAACGTCCTAGCTTTCAATGTATAAATACTGATAAAACTTGCATTATAAAAATGTTAATTTAAGGAGTCGTGGGAAATTAGTTATCAGCAACAACAGTCATGCGTACAGTGATAAAATTGTTTATCTTTTGGAAATTTTGACATTCTTTCTTTTGGAGTATGAGTGACTGACAGATCTCTAACGTCATCGAAACGAATTGCTAGGGTCGTATTAAGTTTACTTTGCAATTTTTATTGCAGCTGCACTGCTAATACCGGTACCATTCCAAGATAAATGTTTATGGGTGTGTCGGATCCATAAAGACGCTCTGAAACAGTCTCTAAACAAGCCGTCACTGAATAAGCACGGAATAACCAAATAACTATTTTATAACAACACGGGCAAGGTTTTTGCACCAAGGGTTTAGTTAACGTCCCCATGGCGAGTCTGTGACAATCTTACACAGACAACGATCATAATCTAACAAGCCCATTGCCCCCTACAGATTTTAATAACAGCAACTTTGTAATACTTGCGCTGATTATTTGGTTTCTGCGAGACTAACTACTTATCCTTCATCTATGCTTTTGTGCCGGTGGATCCGTATGCATATATTGCAAGGATGCTGTAGCAAGAGTAGAGATAACAATCCTAAGTGATTCAAGAGTGCTGCTTAGTGTGCAGGAAGACTCTTGAATCACTTACTATGTAGTACAGGCAGAATTGGTTGAAAGCAGAAATTTATTGTCACACCTGGCGGACCAGATTAAATCATCTAACGGGCCGGATTTGAACCAAAGTCTGGACACTCACAATTTCATCACACCCTGTATAAGTTGGTGAAATTTCGATCATAATTTATTTATCGAGACCATGCTTCCAAAAATCACATAACTGGCTAAATAATCACATGCCCGATATGGACTGGTACCTAGACGAGACGCCGCGATTCGCCACATGATTAAGTTGTCTTATCACATTTCCTCTTCCCGGGATTAATATGTAAATCCTATCCTTATTTTTTATGCAGTTATGCCTAGTTCACATACAGAAATGTAGGCCGAAAGAAAACAAATATTTTTAACACTCTATTTTTATGCCCTTTGCGGCTCATTCCCATGCGAGGAATTGAAATAACCGTCTTTATTTGGCCACGGACGACAAGGAGATAACCAGTGCCTGCTAAGATTAAAATAAACTACCGTCTCGTCTCAGTAAAGAAACGATACCCATTCAGAGGCTTAGTCATCAAAATACATTTGTGCGTGCACAAGACGACTACTCAGAAAGCCGAGAAAAATACTTTAATCGGAAATAGAGGCATCTGAACTAAGTGCAAACTACGACCCGTACAAGTTGTTTATCCCCATTTCGTGAACAAAACAACCGGACCCACAGGGCATAACTTGGCCTCACAGACAATCCGGAGTTTGAATAAACTGACTCCTAGCAATACCGCGTTACATACTTATCCTGAAATAAACTGCACTCTGAAAGCAGAATACGGATTACCCGATTTTTCACCATTCAATCCTGTATACACTTCGGATATATATAATTCAGCCTGGGAAATGGATTTCTACAGCGTCCTCGTCTTCATTGCGAGTTTCATCGTCGGGATCGAGTCGATCAAGAAATCCTCAATGTTTATGTCGGGTGAGAAGTTCTTCCGTTTATTCATTTTAATCTACCGAGAATCTCTACTTCTGATTTTAATATGATAGAATTTTAATAACTATTCCGGGAACGAGGAAAGCCGATAAAGTGGTTTACTCGTGCGATAAATTCGCGGCCTCTCTCGTTCAGTTAACAGTCCATGTCGGGTATGAGATTAGGTAGTTATTTGTTTTCGGAAGCACGGACTTGGTGGTGGAGGAATACTTATCCCGGGGACCGGAAAGGGAATAAAGCGGTTTAGTCTTACGATAAATCACAGCCTCGCCCACGCTTACCAGTTCATGTCAAGTATGGGATTAGCTAGACAGTTATTTGTTTCGAATACATGGACTTGATGTCGGAGGAAGCCGTAACCGACCAGTGAACCAGGTACGTGAACCACCCTATGGCGGCGAGGAGTCAAGCAATTTCTCACACATAATTATCCTCCGTGGAACCAGATATGCCCAATTTGATTTTAATTTAATGAAAAAAAACGGAAATTGGTGACATCGAAAATGTAAATTCGCCAGATGAGAAACAAACCCACAAGAAATCGTGTAAAATCGAGCACGCCAGGATTCGAACCTGGAATCTTGTGATCCGTAGTCAGACGCGTTATCCATTGCGCCACGCGCCCGCATGTCCACTCCGCGTCCAACCATGAAAACATTGTTAGAAGCTTACTGACGACCACTCAAATGGTGAGAGATTGTTGTGACAGCATCTTCAATTAGTATTGGTTTTGGCCGGATTGTTTGTTATATTTGGCATGATGTTTTAGATGTTCAATAATATATTGTTGGGATGGGTCATCCGTCGTCAGCCCCGGTGGCCTAATGGATAAGGCATTGGCCTCCTAAGCCAAGGATTGTGGGTTCGAGTCCCATCCGGGGTGTTTGGACGTTTTGCGAACTCAGATTTGGACTTATATTTGACCATCTTGAAGAACGTGAGCTCGCAGCCAATACTTATGGAACAAGATTGCAGTAAATTTGCACATCGTATTTTGCAATAATGATGATTCTGGATGTGAGCGCAATAGGAGTATCTGACCTTTAAACTTTTGATCTAATGGTTATCGAATGAGTACCATACCACATTGCAAAGCGCCCATTGTCTTGTACTAAGCATCCGGCGCTTACATCGTATCGCTATCGTTTGTAAAACTTGTCAACGTTATTTAACTGCGATGGCAGACGCTAGAAATAGTTCAAAAACGAGCACGCCAGGATTCGAACCTGGAATCTTCTGATCCGTAGTCAGACGCGTTATCCATTGCGCCACGCGCCCACACGTACATGGTATTCCAGACCAAAACTACTAGATTGCATTCTGAATCTGAACGCCCTAGGGTAGAAGCCCCCACTATAGCCAGAATGTATGCTGTCAAGGCGGCCATTTGAAGAAGTAAAAAATAGGACAACAGAAGCTAAAACGAAATCTACAAAAGAGCGAGAAGAACACCCCGGATGGGACTCGAACCCACAATCCCTGGCTTAGGAGGCCAATGCCTTATCCATTAGGCCACCGGGGCGGACGCACCCCTTAAGTTTAAATTGTTTACAGAAGGTACCCCGTACGTACGTACGTACGTACGTACATGCGCACCAAAACTCTGTTATCAACAAGAATCGTCATCTTTCCTACTACAACAACAAAATCAATTTTGCAAACGACCCACTTTGTGTATTCCACTTGTGTGACTGGAAGTTTATTCAACTGCAGCGCCAAAAGAAACATGGACCTCGAGTTGTGTTGTTTTTACCTTTTTGACTCGATGCCAGATTTTATGTACGATCTACTATGGTAGACTTTAGACTTTAGCAGTGTGAAAACATTCTCAATATATTTGACGCAAATTAGCGTGCGGGCGCGTGGCGCAATGGATAACGCGTCTGACTACGGATCAGAAGATTCCAGGTTCGAATCCTGGCGTGCTCGCTTTTTCACCACCCTGTACCTAAATTCAGGCGACAATTTTACACAAAAACATAGAAAGAGCATAAATTTCTGAATATTCTTCTACTCGTGGCTTCAGCAAGTCCGTACATCTGAAAACAAATAACTAATTCCATACCCGACATGGACTGGTAATCGGGTAAGAGGCCGTGGTTTGCCATAGGAGTTTAGTCGCCTTATCGGATTTCCTATAAGATGTTATCCAAGATTAAGGCACGGAAAAAGTAAAAGCGAATCGAATTACCTTGACTTTAAATTTGACCACACGAATGGGATGAACAAGGACATGGAGGTTTGTGCCTCTGAAAACAAATACCTGATCGCATACCCGACATGAACTGGTAACCGGGCGAGAGACCGTGGTTTGTCATAGGATTTAGCCGCCTTATCGGATTTCCTCTCCCCCGGGATAAATACGTAAGCCTTATGTAAATAATTTTATCTGCTACGAGGCAGTGTTCCATTGTTTTTTATTCTTGCATGATGAAAAAAGATCACTGAACCTAAAACCCGTGCAATACATGCGTATATATGCCTTGTTTTGGCAATTTTTATTTTATATAAAGCTAATTTTAAATCATAATCTTCAGAGCTCGTGTATTTGCCGATAGGTATTAGTGAACCATATGTACTCAGACTTTGTTTGTGTTCTTGCTTTTTTAATCAAAAAATTTTTCAAATGATTTATCGCGTGGTAGGCTGGTTATTTATTTAGTTTATGTTTTTATGTGTTTGCCTCCTATTAGTACGTGCACGCCAGAAACTAAATATTTCCGTTCGGTGCGACGCCACACGACCGCAAACGTAGCGGGTGGTCGCGTCGCATTAATTCCGGGTGCTTGACCTTTTTTTAGGACAAGGTCATTAAATCAGCTGTTCTTTTCAAACTGCGGTTTGTGTTGTCCGAGTCTACTGACCTTTGGATAGGGTTTATGACGAACTTTGACTCTTGACAGTCAAAGATCGATTGAGACAGCCGCTAGGAGTGATATAGTTACCAAAACTCGGATGGGTCGTTTTCTGAATTATACTTCGGGACCTACAATTGTGCTCGTTAGTGTACCTGGAGCGGTACTTCCGTAGTATATGTACTAGGTTAGGGTTGGGCCCTAGTTTTATTTTGATTTTCTTTATTTTAGTTTTATTACGAGTTTGGTGACTGTTTGTGTTAACTAAATGAATATACCCCCTGCCCATAGGCTTCAGTCCCTTTACATAACTTGATGTAAAGTAGGCGAACAAAATCAGCAAACAAAACCTCCATATTGGTAAACATACTTCTGGAGCGCCCTAGAGCAGTGTGCCATTTTTGAATCTATTCCTCGATGCGGTAGATGCAAAATGAAGTGTTAAATCATTTCCATATATACAAAAAATCTATCTTTTTATTACGAACTCCTTATAATTGTGCTACAACGCTTCGATGCATCCGTTGTTATATGCTAATGGTCCCCAGCCTTTCATAGGTCCCCTGTTTGTCATTCCCGTGGTTTCTATGGTGTTGTTTTGATTGGTAGATTCCAAATCCCATTATGTTCAAACAATTCATGCTCAACAAAAGGAAAACACCCTGTGAAATAACCTTATCAAGAAATGCAATTGGGAGTTTTCTTGTAAAAAAAAAACTAAAATTTGTTTTGTGCTCAACATTGTAGCATTGTGGATCCCGATTGGGAAATGCTGTTATATGCGCTTTAATATTAACAATAGAAAAGTAGAGTCTCTCACTGAAAACACGTTCAACAATTTATGTCAGGGCATAATAAGTTGCGTAAGCGTTTTCGGACCGGATATATTCCATTTATTGCAAGAGAATAGCTTCTTCAAACAATAGGTTGCTGGTGCAATGACTTATTCGGAGTGAAAGACGTATAAAATAATCATATTGCATTTCTTCTTTAGAAGTTGATCTACTGAGGGCAGCCAGAAGTGAAAAGTCCGCGATCAGAGTGACAGAAAAAGTAGCGCGCACGCTTACGAAAGCACATACAATTTCGTTGGCGTTTGAACTCAAAGTCCCGCCAGAAGAATTTGTTTCCGTATTTGCAATTTATGAAAAAACCGGACCGAGAAAGTATTTTGAAATCACTGTGAACGGACGACAGGACAAAGGTGGGTATCGTATATAACCCATATGGAAAATACGCGAACGAGAAAAGCTTATATCGGCGACCACCACAAAACTTAGCTTACTTTAGCCGCCATAATAATGCAAATGATAAGGCATAATTAAACTCTTAGTTAGTACTTGTCTAGCTGGTGGGCGTAACGCGCCCGCCCCCAATGTTAAAGTGTCTGTTCTGAATGTCCGTAATTTGCGTTCTTCAGCGTCTTCGTATGCTTTTGCTTATTTGCTTAGCCTGTGTTAGGTAATCGAGAGCTGATGGGTCTTTGCCAAAATGCTAACATTGGGCTTAACTTACTTAAGACTCACTAATATTGCAGATATTGAGACAACGTTAAACTCATAGTTACTTCTTGTCATAGCTGGTAGGCTCAATGCATCAGCCGCAATCTGTAAATTCTATCATGTTTGCAATGTTTTATCGTTGTCGCCTTCTCGTTAACATCACGTGTTAAAGAATCAGGGTCCCGAGTGTTCTTTTCCAAGGCTAACATTGGGCCAACATTGTCCGAGCGTTTGAATATCAATTGCTCAGAAAATAACCTAATACTACGTTTTTAGCGTTGGTATTTTGGTAAGATAAATTTCTATCCTCCTTCCACGCTTTTTCTCTGGTACATCCTTCAGCATTTATTGCAACAAATTCCCAACAAAATTAATTTAATATTGATGTGGGGAAAGCTTCGATCATACAAAACGTCCCAAAAATATATTTGTGTCAGTGTGCAGAAAGATTATAAAAACTACTTTTGTCTTTATTCCAGTTTCCATTAAGTCACGTGATGAAAGCGACGCCGATGACGACGAGTTGCACGTGACCAGTTTTCGTAAAGTTGGCATTGCTAACGGACAATGGCACACAATGCTCATTCATTTCGTCATAACAGAGTAAGTAATTTTTCTGCAGTTGCAGGGTTTATGTCATCATCGCTTTTTGTAGAGTACTTTGTCAATGTGGCCGCATTTTTATGAGACGTTTTGAGACTTTTACAACAAATAAGGGTCTATACGAGCATTTTCTGATTCCTAATGAACATGCTTTGAGTATGCTTTGTTAAAAATTTCTCGAAGATGAGATTTTAAAATTTACCTGTATGTTAACTGACTGTAATGTTTTTTATTCCCGAGTCGGTCAGTATTTATTAACGCTCAATTCGCCATTGTAATCCTTTAACAGGGCTTCCAAAATATTTAATTAAGATGGTGATCCCTTCCAATATATTAAAATTGGTACTCCCGAAGTATGTGAACCAAGATGGCGGACACCGGAGCGTAGTATATGTACCAGGTTAGGGTTAAGCCATGATTTTTTTTTTCAGTTCTATTACGAGTTCGGGGACTAGCTAAGTGACTCCCGTAGTATTTGTACCTGAAATTGTGGCCTAACCCTAACCTGGTACACATACTATGTTCCGGTGTCCGCCATCTTGGTTCACATACTTCGGGAGTACCTTAAAATTTTCGGCGACCGCTCTTAAGACGACATTGTTTTGCAAGCGCGTCGTTTCTCTGATCCTATGTATTCTCTTAAAATCGTCATATTTATGCTTTGCTCTAGTTTTAATAACTGTGTTTCGAATCAAAAGTCTAAAAAGCACAATATATGAAGTACTTTATGGGAAATTGGTGTACTCTTTGCGATCCTTAAAATTCGTCGCGACCCCCCGGTTTGGGAATACCTGTTTTACAGCACTTCTTTCTCTTCTCGCCCCGATTGCTTCTGAGTAAGTGCGCACGCTTCGCTCCGAGCAAATTGCCCTGACAAATGAATTCATGTTATACAAACTCGAATATTTATGGAATCCTAGTACTGTATTAAGAAAAAAAACCCGAATCGAATATATTTTCTAAACTTTCGCAATATAAAACCTACTGTGACGTAACCTGCAGAACAAGCTTCTTATATCCTAATTTTACCTGTGATTATGCGGATACAATTTTGGATCTTTTGCACAAAGATTCCGCCAATATACACCTCCGTTACTGTTCAAAATAGGAAAATTAACAATTATCTAGTTAGAGCTCTGGTTAGGAATGATTTGAAAATTTGAATTTTCAGCGCAATCTGCATTTGTATCCCTTGCCCTAACTGGATAATTATTAATTAATTTTGAGCGGTAGCGGGAGTGTTTTTTGGCGGGAGCTTTGTGCAAAAGATCCAAAATTGTATCCGTAGAATGTAATCACAGGTGAAATTAGGATATAAGAATCTTGTTGTGCAGGTCACGTCACAGTAGGTTTTATATTGCAAAAGTTTAAAAAATATATTCGATTCGGAATTTTTTCGTAATACAGTACTTGAATTCCATAACTATTCGAGTTTGTCTAACATGAATGCATTTGTCAAGGCAATTTGCACTCACTCAGAAATAAAGAATATCATCTCTGAGCAAAGTTGTCAGAATGTCCAAAAGTCATATGAAACGATATTTTGTTGCGAATGTCACCGTGAATTCTTAACGTAATTTGCCGCAATTTCAGGATAACTTTTCCGGGGTTAAATTACTTGGCAGAGCTACAAAGAGTTGGCGAGGTTGTTCAAACAAAAATATTTGATTACCGAAACCACAACTGGCATCGTTAAATTGTAAATCTAGTCTTCAAAATCACTTGGATTGTGCTGAATCCTGCTGTATTATGAGCTTGATGTCTCTAGGGCTGAGCTTTCTCTAATACCAGGTCGAATCGAATATTATTTTCGAATCGAATCTCGAATACTTGAAAGATATGTAACTGTATGCGAGAACTGATTTTGTATTGTGATTGGACCAATCACAGACATATAAATTACGAAAAAACATAGAATCCATCACTCTGTCAGTTCGCCGAGTTGTTCCACACAATGAATGTTCCATCAAAGTTGGCGGCGATGCGAAATTTCGTTTGAACCGATTTGAATAATTTACCATTCGAAATGCCCAGCCGCAGATGTCACGGTCTGAACTACAAATCGAATAACTGTTTCTTACTTTCTCTGCGATACGGATGCCGAAATACAGAAAGTAATTTTGTTTATTTCCATATAATAACATTTATGGCGAATTTCTCAAACCATCCAACCACTGCGTTTGTGGCGTGAAATAGAATGGTATTGCGTCAGTCATCCGCAAGTTTTTCACTTTTACGCGCATATACCCATATACGAAAGAAGATTAGCTTTCTAATTTCCAAGTTAGACGTCTCAAATGAGTCCGCGGAGCGTTTGAATGAGTCCGCAACGAGCCAGAAATTCACTGCGGGCCGCAAACGTTTTTGCGTAACTTAACCATCAGCCACGATTTACGTTAGAATTTACATAAAACATAAAAAGCAAGTTTATTCATATAACATTAATCGAGTCAATAATTTCTGGATACTGAATGAGTAGGGCTTGGCATATATTCGAATATTTAATTATTAGAATAGCAATTTATTATTCGAAAATTTGGTATCAAGTGACGCGACAGGTCACTTGCGCTTCGTTTAATCAAACGATTGGATTTAGTCGTTGTTGTTGGAGGAATAATTTTTCTGGTAGGTAGGTAGCAACCTAAATTTTCTAAATTGAAAAGCGGCAATACAAAATATATACTGAAAATAAAACTGAAAACACCATAAGTTGTTTAAAAACACTTTTTTAGACATGTTGCAAATTGCAAAATTCCGGGTGCTACCGTAGTATTCGTATCAGGGCATTTCCCTCAGAATTCTTTGCTTTATTGCAGGGTCCGCAACCTACGACCCGTGGAGCAATAATTCAGGCCCGCGATGCTTCTCTGAATTATAGTGACAAAACAGCTGTTTTTACGAATATATTCTTTACGTGACAGAATTTATTTTGCGGCACGTTTAGACTAAATTATATCATAACCTATCAAGTATATAATTCACAATTAGTCGTTGAATGAGCCTATTACTTCATTATAATTGGGAATTCAATGGCAACAAAACGCAGAAAAGTTGAACGATAATTGCAATTGGTTCAATATTCATATGGTCAGTCTTCGGGCGCTGCTTAAAATTTAACTTCTGATCTTTTAATAAAAAAATGTGATTCATTGGCGATACGACCGGCTTTTAACTTTCCAAAAATATGCGCGGCCCACCAATGACTTGCAACCTTTTATTTTGGCCTGCTAGCGACAAAATGCTACCGACTCCTGGCTTTACTGTTGTACGAACAGCTCATATTTGTCGAATTCACAAAAATAGGAATCGCAGAGTAAAATGATCACAATTAAATTAATATAAAGCAAGGCGATGGATATTTTTTATTTTTATTTACTAATATACTAATTATATTTTAATAAGTACTAAATCAAGTTGTACTTTCTAGGATTTATAGCAGATAGTAGGACTTTTCTAACGGCGATAACAAATTCGCAAGATCGCAAATAATTTATATCTAAACTAAATAAAACCGGGCAATATATTCTCACATTATGTTTGCAGATTGCCGTGTCATTTAAAAGAAGTAATGCTTTCATCTCGTCATAAGTCAACGCAACCGCGAGTGACCATGAACACAATTAAATTAAAATAGGAACACATTTTAAATTCTTGTCGTTGTCAAGGATTGAAGATTGTGCAACAAAAAAGGTCATTTATACACCAAAAAAGTCGGCCCTTTTAACAAAGGCGTAATTGCGTAGCGTTTCCGATTTTGAAATTCGGAAAAATTCTGTTGTGTTTAGTTTTATTACATCTTCACACAGAGTACGGTTTCAATAAACTCACGTTGAGTCCGCAAAGGTTTTCGACAGTGAGAAAATAGTCCGCGACCGAAAAAGTTGGGAAACGCTGCCGTAACAGCTAGAGGGCGGGAAAACGTGGGTTTTCAAGAGTCTTCAACAGACATGGGCAAACTACGGCCCGCGGGCCAAATCCGGCCTGTTAGGTAGTTCAATCTGGCCCGCCCGATGTTGCCTCAACCAAACTGAAACCAAATTTTGATGTTGAGCTAAAAATAGTTCAAGGAATTTGTTGAGTTGGGATTAAATTTAATTTTGGCACGAGGATCATTGTTTCCCTTCCACTTCTGCAACAGCGTAAATATTGTTCATAAAATGTAACTTTTTACGTCACAATTACATGGCCAGCCAGTCTAGGTAGACCGAAACCCTGCCCACCCCTGGTCTTGAAGATCTAAAAGCGTTCCAAGCCGATCCCCAACCGCAATTAGCTGTATTATGGGTGCAATAGCCGTTGTGAAGATGCAAAATGTCTCGTGTAAGAACAGTAGCTTGTGGGAACTATCTTATTATTACCAATCACTAATTTTGTGATCTTTTCTTTGCTTCTGTTTAGGTTAGTAGATTAGGACAATGAGGTTAGGTTATTGTCCCATCTTAACCAAGATAAACAAAATCATAGGAGACAGCTCAGTAGATTAGCGATGAGGTGATAATAGGATAATGTCGTCTCGCGATACTGCTGTTCTACGATAATGCCTTGACCTTTAACTGTTTCCCTCAACGTGGAACAGTTCCAACCCCCTTTGTGGTGGAATTACAGTAATTATTTAACACTTCAAACCGGTCAGTCGCCATCTGTTTTCGAAAGCATGGCCCAGACTTGACTATGTTAATTTCGTAACGCTACTTTGAGCGAACTGACATAAAATGTGGCAAGGCCAAAGAGGTATTTCGTCGCTGATCGTGTTTCGGATGCGATACAGCAACGATCAAGTTCCCGATGCGGCGACGTTCTTTGTGTTTTTGCCAGCTAGTCTGATTACAGGAAATCAAATCTTGACTTTATCGCTTTGCTGCATTCGAGCCAAACATTCCAGAAATAAACGTACCTTCGAATTTATCCAAACATACTTTTTTAAGATGAGTTGTATTTCGGACCAACGACGGTGCGATAAATAAAATGATTTAATATTGTAAACTCAGCCATTGTACAAATATCGCAACACACAGGACAAACGAACACGCATGACGGAAAGCCATGAAAGTTTCCAAAACTTATGGGCATTATGGGCAATTGAAGTTGTGAAAGATGCGCTTTTCATACGGCGCGTATATGGTCGTTTCCTTTACGTTGCGGAGAAAAGAAAAAACAATTTGTAAATGAGAAAAACATGTTAGCTTGAATATTCGGTCATATTTTTTTTATTTCGTCCTGTGTTGAGTTCATACAACTGAAATGAATAGCTGGTTAGTCTTTCCATACTGTACCCGACATGGACTGGTAATCAAATCGCGACTAATTTGGCTTTCATGAAAAATGTCCTATTTCTTTAAACATTGTAAATGTATTGAAAATTTCCAAAACTGTAACGCGGTGCCAGTTTCAATCACATTTAAATTTAGAATAAGAATGAACGCGATTATGCTTATTACTGCGTATAAAATGATCGAAGTCAATAATAATTGCGGCCTAAGCTCATTTAAATACTAGTTATATTTGATAATAAAGCTTTGACGGTTATTAGAAAATGAAAAGTTTAGAAGCGAAGAGTTAAAAAGCTTGCTGTGACCAGGATTCGAACCTGGGTTATCACGGCCACAACGTGAGGTACTAACCACTATACGATCACAGCTTAACACGATTCGCCATTCGACGACCGCGGCAGAACGCTACGAGAATTGGAATATATAATTCTCTCGAATGATTGGAAGCGCTCTCGAATGATTGGAAGCGCTCTCGAATTCAGCATTCGACAGTGCTGTACTGAGCATTGTGTAAACACGTGCACTACGTACCGCGTCTCCATATGCCATTTACATTTTTCTGCTAACCCCTTTTCCAGTACATATAACACACATAACGGAAATTCAAATCAGCTGCTAAAACTTTTAAGTCAGTGCAATTGAAACAAATAACTGGTTAACTAATCCCATACCTGACATGGACTGGCCGGGCATGCCACATGATTAAGCCAGCTTACCAAATCCCATCCTAAACATGTGACAGAAAAGACCTTGTGACATAGAAAAATAAGTTAAAAAATGCGAAATGCTCTCTAATTTAGTTTCAAGATTATGAGCAATGTTATAATACATGAATATAAATGAAAAATACGATGAGACAATCGCACACGTACAAAAGTATGTATCGCGTTTCCCCGGAATAAGACCTAGTCGATAGCAAAAAATCTCTCCTTCACGTTTTAAATGATTAATGTTTGAAATAATCTATGTTTAGCAGTTATTTTAAATAAAAACCTGTTAATTATAAGTAACAATATTGGTTTTCAAATTTTGTATATTCAAAAATCTCGTGATTCTCAACTTTGTAATTTTGTGTTTGATAAATGAAAATAAAATACATCCTCCCAAAATAAGCCCTAGTGAACTGGTTCTCAACCAGTGGGCCATAGAGACATTTTCAAGGGGGCCACAAGGCTATTAAAAATTACTATGGTTATTGAAGAGTTTAGTTTCGTTTGTCATTATAGTCAAATATTTTATTGTAGTAGCAATGAATTATGCTGCTGCTTTTCATTCTAATTCCTAAAGTGAAAGTATTTATTTTTGCAAACAGAGTCTTGTTTTTCTTGTAGTTTTTCCCTTGCATGAGAAAGTTAGTGGCCCACGAGAGAAAAAAAGATTGATAACCACTGCCCAGTGCAGGGCTGTGCAAACCCTGGCACGCGTACCAAACTTGGTTTATTTTTGCGTTGAAAGTAGCGAAGAATTGTTTTTTAATTTTGGTCGGCACGCGGAGGAATTTTGTCGTTAAATTTATCTGATTTCGGCACGCGAGCCGAGAAAGGTTGCCCACCCTTGGCCTAGTGTGAGAAAGACAATGTCCTATTTGCAGGGAAACACGGTTTGTATGTGGTCGTGTGTTTTAAACCAAAATTGACCAATCAGAATTCTCAAACCCCTAGTCCGCACATCTGGCAAACAACCTAGGTCTACGCTTTTATAAATACTGTTTCTCATTCAGTTCAGGAGTTGCTGAAACTCATTTCATACTTGACTGTGCAGAGAAGGGAAGGGCCGAACACCCCTGGATCGCAGATCAAATCCGGAAAAGTCGGAACAGCACTCTGATCGTCAAACTTGGTACCAAGAGTACAATTGATATAAAGGTTCGTTTGTTCATATTCCTGACATAGAATCACTATACTAACGGTTCATTATTCGCCTTTTCGCTTTCAAATATGTAATTCATTTACTGATTCCGACACAGACCCAACAACATAGTTCTAAAGTTGACAACAAGAATAAAAAATATATATATATCTCAATCATTTAAATATACCTATCAGTAGGGTTCACAGTTACACGACACTAACTCCCAATTCTTTCTCAATGCCTCTGTGCTAATGAATACGTATGCATATAATGCAAGTATGTTGTGGCAGGAATAAAAATACCATTTAATTGCATTTAAATATGTTCGGATCTTTTGTACCAAGCCCTGCCACTCATGCAAAAAAAAATGTGAGATTTAAATAAAAACCTCCGCCACGTTTTAAACAATTAATTGGAAATTAATTATTCAGTTAGGGTTCGGATTAAAAATAAATTAAAAATTTGAATTTCTAGCGCTTTTTTTTTAGGCGGGGCTTTGTACAAAAGATCCGCATATTTTATTATCTTATGCAGTGTGTATGCTGTGTTACACAATATTATTGACTCACAACCACATATTTACCAAAACCCAAACCCTGCTTAATACGCGTTACGGTTCGTAGGACTAGCAGTTTCATCGTTACTGTTCTTCGCCATTAATTTTAACTGATAAAATAATATTTGATAGTTTTTGCGCATCTGTTGAAGTAGCTATATATGCTGGCAGATTTACTTGGTTTTCTAAGTTCTGTGGCAGAACTTTCTGCATTGAAACAAAATATCAACGATGTCCGCAAGGTTATAAGTTCCTCTCTGTTATTTAATGTCAAATCCGGGCGTAATGTTTTAGTGGAATGTGTAACTTGCTGGAATATTGGGTCTACTACCACTTCAAATTTATACATATATATTATTTTGTAATAATCAGAATTGTGTTGTCTTTATCCTGTATTTTCCATATTAATATACGCTTTCCCTTATGTTTCAAAACAATTTAAATCAAGTTTTGGGTATCCCATCGCCACAAACAACCAGGGTGTGATAATATTTCCATACATAACAGCTCTCGCGTGGCAAGTTGCCTTGGATATAGCTCAAACCTAGGATTGCCATACCGTCCGGAAAATTCCGGACATGTCCGGAATTTAGAATTAAATTTTGCGTCCGGAAAGAATTTAAAAAATGCTCAAATGTCCGGAATCCGGAATTTTATTGCATCTGCAACCGTACTGTACACTCTGCTAATACAGAACATTGTTATTTCATACCGTGCGCATATTTTTTACTACGAGGTCATGAAAATAGTCAGCACTGTCCAGAATTTTGCTTTTTCAAATATGGTGACCCTACTCTAACCGAAAACGTTACACATTGCATGAAAGGGACCAATGAGTAGCAATGTAAAAGTAAAGTAAATAAGAAGCATTAAAACCTTGGGTGTCGCTGAAAAAATAAACTTCAATTGCTAAATTGCCTAATTTTTCTATGAATAAACACAGTCTATTCATAATCAGACTCACATGCGAAAGGCGGTTCTACTCCATGATGAGCAACTTCCAATAGTGCGGAGGAACTATGGCGGTTACTGCACTCAGGCTGACATGGGCATAGGGTCTGATCCGACTCTGTTGAACATGATGAACAACTTTGAACCAGTTTCGGAACTAATAATTCAAATCTCAGGTAGGTAAATTTTACTGAACTGCGTTTCCTGTAATACAATAATACACTAACAAGGATAGTTTTAAAGCTAAATTATCGCTGTTGTTCTTGGTGGCATGGAAAATTACCTTCTCCCGCATTTTATGGACTTATCGATTCCCAATATTTAGTACTTGGAGATGTAAGAAGTAGGTCAATTTAGGTTGGTTGGGTGCACATCACATGGTGAAGTTATCAGTGGAATTCCCTAAATTCCGAGACCCGAGTAATCCGAGTGAAGAGTCGGGTCAATCACTGAGTGGAGTTTCATCGGCTGTTAGTTGATGAAGAGCCCGAGTCATTCCATTTCGAATAAATGACTCGAGTCACTTCGATGTATGAGTCGAAGCAATGACTAGTGCCTTGTCAACATTGGTACTGGTAACGTTACCCCGTGTCCATTACATTTGTGCGGCTCTCTCTCGCCTTTTACTCCGATTCACTGCAACATTACTTTCAGATCTGGCATCGGTCCTCCGAGACATCCATGCAGGAATGAAGGCTCAAGCGATAGAGACGAAAGAGCTTCGGCGAACTTTGCAACAATGTAGTGCATGTACAGGCGAGAAAAGTAAGATTTAATATTTCTCAACTTATGATGAGTCGCGACCCAAAAACCTGGTCGGATAAAAATCTTCTTGGGTCGCCTTCTTTTTCAACAAAAACTTGAAGCTATTGATTTAATTTTTTTTGTAAATTTCATTGTTTATTTTATATTTGTAATGAAGTGTTGCTGAATAGTAATTGAATATGTGGGAGTATCACAGCGTAAGAACCAGTCAACATCTATTTACCCACGATTTCAAAAACTCGCTGTTGGCAAACAAGTTCATCTTTCTCACTTTGAAGTGATTTATGGAAAAATAAATGTAAAATGATTGTTTAAAATTAGTCATTTAAATTTTCTTCCACAATTGCGTTTGTTATTTGAGCCTATTCTTGGGACTTGGGCTTGGGTGGTTTAAAAAAGGGTTAAGAACCACTTTTCTAGTTATTGTTTGAGGCATACATGGGGCTTCCTTTTCTTTTATATATTGAAGCAAGTGTACTCATTTGCATAATACCAGGGTGCCTTAGCAAAATGAAATATGTTTGTTCTAAATGATTCAGCAAGTTCACATCCCGTTCAGGATAATGGTGTGCGAGAGGATTACTGGACTTCTCGTCACTGAACGGTTCCAACTCCAGAATTCCACCTATTCCCTATACCTGGACTAGTAACCCTACGAGATGCCGTGGGTCGACATATGATTAAGCTTATCTACATTCATCTCATATTTTTCAGGTCTGTACAGTCAACCTACTCAGTCAGTGTCGCCAACTCAAGGCCGTTTTCAAGTTACAGAGCCTCCCCAGCCTAGTATCATCAAAGTCGAGGAACCAACAGAACCCCCGGTGATAAGGAAATGCAGCAGCAACCCTTGCGATAGTCAAGTTGAGTGTGAAGATACAGAAGACGGGTTTACCTGCGGCAGATGCCCGTCGGGATTCACAGGTAAGGTGTAGAGAAGTAGGAGGAATTGCTAGTTTAAACGCTATTCCTATTGTTTGCTAATGTCTTCCGAATGAGGTACTGCCCCAAAAAACAATGGCCCGTACCGCAGCTGGCAAGCCAGGTTTCTTAGCCCGTTTATTATCTAATAAAAAGCGGTTGACATGGTTACTCCGCCTGTCGTGACTGGAGTTGCTTGCTTCCTTTGTTATGAACGATTGTTTTTATTGTTTATGTTATATATTTATTACGTCATATTTCAGGTAACGGGATTCACTGTGATGACATAGACGAGTGTGAGACGTCGTTCGATCCCTGTTCAGCCATAGCTGGCTGCATTAACACCCAGGGCGGATATTACTGCAACCTTTGTCCTGAGGGCGGATTCGAACAATCATATAAGGAGATTGAGGTGGCGGAAAGAATTATTCAGAAACAGGTATGTGTTGTTCAATTAATCGGGGGACGAAATATCCTATCCATAAATGCCTCCTAATGTGGGTTAGCGTTGAATTTTGTAGGAATTGTCCATATTTTTTATTGGCTAAACTTCCCGTGGAATTTTCTGGTTTATTTGTCTATGATCGAAGTTAACTCACAAACCCTCAACAAATGACTGTGTTTGGATGGGAATTAACATATGCCCAATCAGGGACGTTTCAAATTTTTCTGCTGCCCGGGGCGAGTTTCTAAGTAAGGATACTCCATTATAACCAACTTCAAAAATAATTTTGGAATAAACAACATTATGGATGTTGGTATACATAAAAATAAAGGACCTCTAGAAGTATGTGCACCAAGATGGCGCACAACCTGAACATAGTATGTGTAACAGGTTATGGTTCAGATTGTGCGTCATCTTGGTGCACATACTTCTGGAGCGTCAAAATAAATAATGTAAAAGTGAAATGTTTGTAATATTATCATTTAAAACAAACTAAGCAACGAACTCAGCCTTATAACGTGCTGTTAGGGCGGCTGCCTCCATGGCCCCCCTCTAGACACGCCCGTGTGTCCAACGAATACTTTGTCATTGTGTATGTAAATCTAAGCTGCATGGATACTATTGTAAGAATCAGAACAATTAGATTGAGTAGTTCAAATTTCTTGCATCACACTTTCATAAATTATATTCTGTAACGTTTCTTCGACTAAAACCAGACTTCTTGTGATAGGATAAGCAGTTTATTTGGGCCTGACGAAACGCTTCAGAATTTTTTTTTAAACGTCTCAATAAAAAACATCAATAAACTTTTAGTATTTCGCTATAATACTAAAAACATTTTATTTCAATTTATTGATAAGAACATTTTTGTGGCGCCAAGGCAACAGAAACTAATGTCATTCTGAGCGATTATCTCTGATTGAAGACGCCCACATAACAAAGTGTCGTCTATGACTTCAACGCAATGTTTGTTGTGTAAACGGGAGAGTTGACGCTGCTAACTAAAAATGACTGGTGAAATTGGAAATGATATTTTTAGGTTGAGGTTTATTATATTTAATGGGAACTGTGACCTATCGTCCGATTACCTGAACAAGTCAGAAATGTTAGATTTATTATTTCGCCGAGGCATATCTGCTAACTTCTGATTGGACATGAGCCAACTGTCTTGAAACAAATTGTCAGATACCGCATTTGTTATCAAATAATTAAATTTACTGAGCTCGGAATTCAAGATTTGCCTCCGCTGCGTCGTTCCACTCCTATCAATTCAAATCACTAAAAATTAAGTAGGTAATGTCCAGACGGATCTTTCAAAAGGAGCTCCCTATATATATATTAATTAGTGTGTGTACAGAGTGTTTTTCATGAATATTTTGTACAGAGACTTCGCCACTAATGAAAAATGTGAGATGTGAGAAAACAACCCCGCTATGATTTAAAATAAAATAAACAAGCCGGTAGGCACCCAATTTGGATCTCCGCCCTTTCTTGAGGCCCGCGTAATTTCAGTTTACTAGTTTGCTAAGAAGGGTAATACGCCCTTGTATCGAGAAACTTGTACCAGAACTGCCAGTTCATTTTGATCGCTGTGCGGCTCATCGGTATCCGTGTGCATGGTTATGCTGTGGATGATAATTAAAAAACGTTCACTGAAATCCATAAGGCTTCCTTAGTTTATGAACCATCCAGATGTAAGACGACTTGTTAGAAAAAGTATTTTCTTCCGCGGAGGGTAGGATACTCGGAATTCTGATATTCGATTTGGTTGACGGGAAAATGGCGAAAATGTAAAAGAAAATGGGAATATTTTCAACGATCAAAGGATTTTTTGCTGCTGCCATGAAAACGCAACATCAATCCGGACTTCCGGTGAAACGCACATAACTAGGGTGACAAGATAACACACGTGTGAAATTTCATACAAATCAGTCCAGCCCTTAAGACTCTACGTCTACTGCTTGGACACACAGACAGATACACAGACAGACAGACAGAACGACTGATAATAATGGTCTTTTAGAGCGGAGATCCAATATACAGCTGGGCTTGAAAATGAATTTCAGCGCAATCTGCATTTTCAACTCTAACTGGTTATTACTAATTTCTTTATTCTGAGCGTTGGAGACGTTTTTTTTTCGCGGGGACTTTGTACAAAAGATTCAGTGACTGTATGTACAGATCGTTCGTTCGCCCTGAACATCGAATATGTCGTTTAAAAAAAACTAAATAATCAAACACGTATCTTTTCTCACAGATATATATTTAGCTCATTCTTATCAGCGGTTTCATCATAATTACGTAATAATAACAATTCTATTAAACATGAGATGCTTAAGCGACGAATAGCCGATCACAAAAAAAAAATGTGTGAATTATCTGCCACGTTGTTGATCAATAAGTCGTTTAGTAAAATTGATGTTGTTTTTGTAGAGTTGGTTGTTGTTGTGAAAATAGTCGCATTACGGGCGACGGCGCTTGACGAGAAGATTCGAATGGCGTAAAAATTAAAGTCAATAGATTGATACTTTGAGTTTTTTGGGGTTGATGAATTTCACAGAAAAGAGACGATAGTGGTATAACGGAGTCAGCTCTATTTTGTCACCCGTTCAGAAGTGTTATTTTTGCTTTGTTCGTGTCCGAAAATTTCGCCGTAGGGAATCTCGACTCAGAAAATTTCGCCGCATATGAAAATTCTCCGCATGAAAAATCGCCGCAAGAGCATTTTGATGTAAAACAAGGATTCTTGATAGCACGAAACATTGCCGCAAGAGCATTTTGCTGTAAAACAAGTATTTATGATAAAAACAGTTAGGTTTATAGGGTTAGGGTTCAGGGAATGCTCTTAGATTGAATAAAAAAAGCCTAACTGTTTTTATCACAAATAATTGTTTTACAGCAAAATGCTCTTGCGGCGATTTTTCATGCGGCGATTTTTCCTATGCGGCAAAATTTCCTATAGCGAAATTTCCTGCGGCAAATTTTCCTAGAACCGTTTTATCATATATCACTACGATATGCACGATACTCTCTCACAAAATTTTTCGCTATTTAAATTTCATTTGAGGTTTTGCTGTTACTATTGTATATTCCTGTATGTTATACATAACGAAGATACTAAATAATTTATTTTTCGATTTATTTGGTTACCCAGGTATGCACGGATATCGACGAATGCAAAGTTGACAATGGCGGATGTGCGGAATTCTCTAAATGTATCAATACTGCGGTGAGTAGTTTTATGCGTCGGTGTAAAGTTGGGATCTGAAATTATATGATTAGTAACTCTACAAACATGGTAACTTTATGAATTGTAGACAATGCTATGTAGTTTGATTTATTATTACAAAAAAAAGTCAACACTATTATAAATATAATCCAATAAAGAAAATATTTTGGCGCTCCTGAAGTATGCGTACCAAGATGGCGGACACCGGAACGTAGTATGTGTACCAGGATGGGATTAGGTCATAATTTTAGGTACAAATACTAATGGAGTCACTTGGCTAGTCCTCGAACTCGTAATAGAACTCAAAAAGGGAAATTTGGAATAAAATTATGGCCTGACCCTAACCTGATACACATACTATCGTTACGGTGTCCGCCATTATGGTACGCATATACTTCAAGAGTACCCATTTTTCGACAGTAATAACAGTGATTGATTATTGCTTTGTGTGGGTCGGTGTGCAGGACCGATCAAGGTCATCTAGGCTCCCGGCCATTTGAAATAACTTTGATGGAATTAATACAATCCCATAACCGACCTGGATTGGTAACCACGCGGAAAGTTATTGTTTTCCATATAACTAATCCGGCTTTCCGGGCTTGCTTTCTCCGATTAAGTATCCAATCATAAAAATTAAAAATACAGCGAGTTAGGCTTCTTCTGTCTCGTTAATAGTCATTTCCCATCACAATGTTGTACATACTCACTTTTGCAGGGTTCATATAAATGTGGAGCGTGCATTCCCGGTTACCATGGAAACCAGACATCCGGGTGCGTGAAAGTCAGGCAATGCAGCGACGGAGGTAAAGTTTTTGATCCAGTATTTTCTAAGTCGGATCTTTTGTACAAATTATTTATAAAAAATGCCCATAAAATTTTAATTTTTTTTTAAATTGCAAATGGAATTTATCGATACCATATATTGCTTTGGCCCTCACAGATGTATTAAACGAAGTAAAAATACTTGAACAATTACTGATTGAAAAACAACAAACCGCTCCGCGAGCTATTCCATTTACCTAAAAAAATACTGACTTGGTTAATTTTGTAACAGTCCGAATAAGAAATAACGACATTAATAAAATTTGACAAACAGCAAGTACAAGTAGTTTTAGTAAGTAATTTTAATTTACTAACATTAATCTGTAAATAACATATGTTTTTATATTTATAAATTTATTTTTGGGCACCGTAAATAATAGTCAATCTCCTCACCGGCTCTATAGGTTTGAGAACCCCTGACTTAGAGATCACAACACATCACATAATTCGGTGCTCCCGAAGTATTCGTACCAAGATGGCGCACAACCTGAACATAGAATGTGTACCAGGTTAGGTTTTTCAGGTTGTGCGTCATCTTGGTACAAATACCTATGAAACGCCCATAATTCTGAGTTCGAATAATTTTCATATTTCCGTGACCGTATTGACTTGAAGTGATTCAATTCTCGCGTCAATCGGCATTCAGGATAGGGTTTACATATTCATCCCGGGAGAAAGGAAAGCCGAAAAGATAGCTAAATCATATGGCGAACCACGGCCTCTCGTCCGTTCACCATCCATGTCGGGTATGACATTAGTTTGCCAGTTATTTGATTTCGGAAGCATGAACTTTCTATTTAGTTTCAGTAGTATTGGCATACTGTCAGTGGCGTAGCAAGACTCTCGTATTAAAAGGCAATGGTAACCTAAAATTTGCCGTTCATCTTGGTTACTTTAATTTTTTTCATACGTGCTTCCTCTTCTGCCTTTTTTCTGCGTTTCTGTGCGCCACTGAGAAGTTTTGCTTTCGACATCATTCTGACAGCCTTCGTAATTTTGCCGGTGCGATCAAACCACAAGACGCCGAAAATCGACGAGTCCCTGGCATTGTTACGTAACAAAACGATTTGAGCAGAACTAACATCAACGTTATAAGATGCGCCTTACTGGTTTTGCAATGCAGCTTTTGGTTTTGCGGCTTAAATTTCTAAATTCTAACCGCTTGGGCCCCATTTGCGCTTTGGGCCCTCCCGCGACCGCGGGGGTTGCGGGGGTGGATGCTACGCCACTGCATACTGTTCTCGCCCATAACTTTGGTTAGAGATGACATATTCCTTTTCGGAGTTAGTGCGCGTGACCTTGGTTTGAAATTTTTTTTTTAAATATAGCTTCTTGCGTTGAGAACTAATACAGCCATTGATGTGGTATGGCAACATGTCGCTCCCAAGAGCGTCTACTGGAAACGCGTAGGCTGACTAATAGTATTTTGTAAATTTTACGCAAATTATATTTTCGCTTCGCAGACGACGCATTGACTGGTCTGTCATCTTCCTATTATTAAGTCATAGACAATTTCTTAAAACAACACTATGATCGAACGATATTTGGCCAACGTTGCTTCTAGTCTTCTTAGGCATAAAACCAATGACACGTGACGGATTATACGCCCTGATGAGGAAATGATCCCGGAAATAGCGGATTAACTTTCACCTATGACCCTTCCCACTCGACTTATGACAATGGATACGGTCGGAGGTGATAAATGCGGTATTTTATTACGAGACACTAGCACGATTTGGCCTGTCTTGTTTTTGAATCAAATTAACAATTTTATGAATCTGAAACAAACAACTTGTTAACTATTCGCAAACCCGATATGGACCGGTCAACGAACGACCGGCCGCGGTTAACTGTGTGATTGAGTCGTCTTAAGTGCATTCATTTCCTCATGATGAATTTGGAGCTTATATGCTATATTGCTTTCCTTGAAGTCGCTAGGGCCCAGGGATGGCAAACCTTTTTCAATGGGTCAAAAAACTATATTTTTTATCGCGTAACAGGAGAAAGTGGGTCACAGATATTCAATCAATGTCAGTATCTATATGAAAAACATCTGAAACCAATTTTATAAGCTTCTGTTGGTGTAGCTTTGGGCTTTACTTATGCAGCACCTTTTTTATGACACTCGATTTTATGAATTATTACGAAAACACGCATATGAATTACTATAACGTTTAGGATGATGCGGCAAATTATTTTACGGTTCCAAAGAGTTTGGAGGGAATTCCACTCTGATAGTGTTATGTTTTGCAATCAGCTTAAACCACATTAAGGAACTTTTCACTGTTCCATTGTTATTTCTGATTTCTAGTTTTTTTCCAAATCTGAAAAATTTTGTGCAGACAGCGGGGCAGACATGCGTCCAAGATTAGGCGTTTTGTAAATTATCATACCGACCCAGAAATTAACAATTTGAATATGAGCGATAGCAGCCTGACTGCCCAACTGACAGTACATTGTGATAGTTTAATTATTGTTAGATTAATTTAAGGCCGGTTTTATCAATTTTTATCACTGATATGTTAGCATTTATTTTTATTTTATTCGTGCCTTGGCGGGTCACGAATAAAACGCAGTGGGTCACTGTATGACCCGCGGGTTAGTGGTTCGCCATCCCTGCGATAGGGTGAGGGAAGCAATCCTAATAGCCAGTAGAATGAATCTTCCGCAAGTGGAGTGCAGTGCTATTTGTCCTGATTCTGGACGCGGAGGCTTGGTTGTTAAACCAGTGTTTCCCAACCTTTTTTGGGGTCGACATCGATTACCTAAGCATAATGAATCGCAGCGGACTCAAGACACGATAATTAAATAAACGTTATCGAGATTTATTTAGGGCAACGATAAAAATACCTTCTGTATTTACCATTGTAAAAATATACAATGTAACCAAAATGTTTTCGGACTCATTTGAGTCTGTGGCCTGGGAAACACTGGGTTGGTGTCGTTGGGCCTGACTTTGTTCGCATGGAAGCTATTCCGCTTACGATAAAATTTAATTTCTAAAACCAACATTTTTACATTTCAGCTCTTAATCCATGCGACGTGAATGCAGAATGTCTGGTAATAAACACTGCAGAAGAATATGCATGCGAATGTAATGCGGGATATTCTGGCAATGGATATGTTTGCGGACTGGACGGAGACTTAGACGGATATCCAAACGAGCAGATGCCCTGTAATGTTAAAAACTGCAGACAGGTATATTATACTAATAGCCCAGCGTTTTCCAAACTGTGCGTCGCGACCCACTTGTGATGTCCAGAGGCGTCGTAAAATATCAATCAAACCGCATTTTGTACTTTGCATAAAAAGATGCGGTCATTTCCACAAAGCAAATATCAAAATCAAATAATATATATACATCATGACTTTATTAATGCGTAACTACTATTATGTTATGTTCGTTGTTTATATATGCATACAATCTCTCCTTGTTATAGTTTAAATATATATATTCGTTCACGGAAGTCTGATTTTGGTCAGACGAAACGTTACAGAAATATTCTTGTCATTGTACAAACAAGACTTACATAGAATGTATAGAAACCTATCTCTCTTATTACATAGGACAATTGCCCTGAAGTACCCAACAGTGGACAAGAAGATTCTGATCTGGACGGCCTTGGTGACGCGTGTGACAGTGACGCAGACGACGACGGGATTTCCAATGATGAAGATAATTGTGTGTTGGTGCCGAACAAAGATCAGCAGGTTTGGTGTTTGAAAACTAGATCAGGGTGGTCCAAACCCAGGCCCGCGGGCCATATGTGGCCCGCGTCACATTCGGAGAGTAATTAAAAAATCGCATTTCGTGTTGTTTCGTAATAAAATTAATCAGAAAAATCTTTTGACATATTGTTACATCAATAATGTCACTGAATCGACTATAGTGTTTTGGCTAGCTGAGGCAACTAGCGAAGTTCAATGCTTTGCTTGGCAGTCTAAACTATTATCTGGCTTTCTATCTTTTTGGTCGAGAATATATGCTAATATGCTAACAATACAGGCATCATAGAAACTAAAAATCTAATGCGTATTCTATTAGCTTGGGATGGCTATGTCTGATAACTATGTGTTTGCACAATAAAAGTGTTTGTTTTGTATTGCACTGTTTACGTATTCTTGGCACTATTGTGGCCCGCAAACAATGCAAAAATAATTTTGTGGCCCGCGAAGCGGACAACCTTGGACCACCCTGAACTATAGATATATCAATGCGTGTCCGGAAAATTTGCCGCATGAGCATTTTGCTGTAAAACAAGTATTTGTGATAAAAACGGTTAGATTTATATGGTTAGAATATGCTCTTAAATAACGAATCTTTCCTAAATGAAAAGGTTCCTTAAAAAACCCAACTGTTTTTATCACAAATGCTTGTTTTACAGCGAAATGCTCCATGCGGCGTTTTTTTTCTATGCGGCAAAATTTCCTGTGGCTAGATTTCCTATACGGCGAATTATTCTAGAACCATGAACTCTGCCCCAGTGATTAACAAAGACCAACATGCTTGATTTGGATTATATTGTCTCAAAGATCTTAATGGTACTCTATTGGGCGGCAACGATTTTGGGTAATCCGTTACGCCAATCGGATGTTTAAGCTTTAAAACTTTTATTGCGCATCGTTATGGTTAGTAAAAAATATTAACAAGATTTATAAAAACATAGTTTTTTTTCCATGGAGAAATATAAAATCCTAACTCAACCCTTTGCCTGATTCCTATTTATTCGGCGAGGCATGTGATATATGATAAATGAATAATATGCAAAGTTTCTCCTTAATTCAATAACTGTTTCAGAACTCAGATTCGGATCTATTCGGCGATGCGTGCGACAACTGTCCCAATGCGAACAACCCTCAACAGCTGGACCACGATGACAACGGGAAAGGAGACGAATGCGATACTGATATAGACGGAGATGGTAAGTGGATATGTGTGAGCTACAAATAACAGATAGTAAGACGAAAGAATGTTTTTTTGGGGGCTCCCGAAGTATGCGAACCAAGATGGCGGACATCGGAATGTAATATGTGTACTAGGTTAGGGTTAGGCCATAATTTTGGGTATAAATACTACGGGAGGCTCTTGGCTAGTCTTCGAACTGATAATAGGACTAAAATAAGGAAAATTGGAAAAAAATTATCGCCTAACCCTAACCTGTTACCCATGTTACGTTCCGATGTCCGCCATCTTGGTTCGCATACTTCGGGAGCACCTTTTTTTTCAATAAAGACGTTGAAAATACGTGAATGGAACGTAAATAAGGAAATAAAGTTTTGAAATGTAAATATCAAAAATAAGGCGGGCAAGATCAAATCTAATAAATATTTTTAATTAGGTTCACGTCCTCTCAAATTACGCCCCCTTTTTGGAGCGCACACCACCGTTTGAGACCCACTGGTTTAGACGAAATATATTTTTTTACACACATAAGTGTAAGAAATTTTTTCGGGCCTCCTGAAGTATGCGCACCAAGATGGCGCACAACCTGAACTCAGGTTGTGTACCATGTTAGGGTTCAGGTTGTGCGACATCTTGATGCGCATACTTCAGGAGTACCATTTTTTCTTCCTTGACATCCGTATCTGATCGTCCTAGCCTTTTTAAAAACTTCAAGATTGTCGCAACGGTAAATGTGGGCGTATACACAAGTAAAATCCTGTAAACTCGATAAATTTTGTGCGAAGTTGGCGAATTTTTTTAAAGTGGCTGAGTCTTTGTGCAAAAAGGGAAAGGACAACTCGCTATGTTTTGAAATAATCGCAGCTTTTTAGTCCTCACATATTGGATGGAGTACCAAGATGACGCACAACCTGAACCCCAACCTAGTACACATACTATGTTCAGGTTGTGCGCCATTTCGGTACACATACTTCGGGAACACCCAATATTCTTGTCCCCTGGTCCAAATCACCTTGCCCACCCTTGGCCGAACCACTAAGCTGCAAAGGTTGAATCCCAATAAGTAAATAAAAACATTCCGTCTACTCAACTTGATTTTTCATTCATGCAGGCATTGGAGAAACCTTAGAAAACTGTCCGTTCGTTCCTAACGTTTCACAGGACGATATGGACGGTGACAGCGTCGGTGATGCGTGCGACAATTGCCCAACTATGAGCAACCCTATGCAGGTGATTATTTATTAAAATAATATTGCAAAGTTCAAAGGTGAAGATGTCACGTACTTTCAAATTGAGTATTCTCATTGGTGAGTGAACCGGAACTATAATTTACTGTTAGTAATTCTATTGATTACACCCATGTAAACTTCGATTATTCACTAGAATCTCTTTCATGACATGAGCCCCACACCCAGTTTTGTAATGAAACTGTTGTCTTCCCATTTTCGAAGTATACAGTAGTGAGCATATGGCACTGCTTTAGACAATTCACATAATGACAGGCACTTGAACGCGCTTATCAGCGTTCAAGTATCAGCAAAATTCAAAAATCCGAAATTGATCAAATGTCATACAATGATGAACTCGTGAAGTTAGAATATCAGATAACTTAGGTTGGAATATTGATAACCATAGCCTTGGTACTCCGAAAATATTCGAAATTTGAAAGCCATTAACAACCTTCATATAGTTTCACCTCGTCATTTTGGTGGTCCCAGCATTTGACCATCCCTATTTTGACACGCATCGACCGTATTTCGCCATCCCCAATACGACTTTTATGCTACCACCACTATAAGACTCATTTGAGTCCGCGACCTTGATGTTAGAATACAATGGGTTAGTGTCGTTTACCCTGTCCATGTTCACATGAAAGCTATTCCATATACGGTACATCCAAGCTTTTGCCAAATTGGCCCAAAATAGGGCGCTTCTTTACAATTCTATTACTTTTTAGTCTGACTCGGATCATGACTCGATCGGTGATGTTTGTGACACTAACACTGACTCGGATGGTGATGGAAGACAGGACAACATGGATAATTGTCCTCATGTTTTGAACTGCGCTCAGTTGGATACGGTGAGTGAGACCAAATAGAATTTCGGAAGATAGGGGAGATGTGAATTCCCTGCGCGTCACCATAAACCTAATTGGAATGAATAACAAATAGGCTAATATTGCCGAGATTTACAGACATAGAAATGCGCTCCAGAAGTGTGTGTACCAATAATTGTAAACATGTGGTGAACTGTGCTCAGTGAGATACGATGAGTGAGACGAAACAAATTATAAAAGTTTTAATTTAAATTGAAAGGTCGCAAATATCTGAATTGAATCTTGGCATAGGTAAATTGTATTTGGTTATTTTGATTCGGATAAATAAAATATCAATTAGATTCCTGAACGTATTATAATTCCGGTGTTTGCGAAAAATCCCTCGAAAACGTTGTTTACAATCATAAAAATGGTTGTAACAAACTACAGGAAGTAAAAGCGGAGATAGTTCCGCAACGTATAATTGACCTTTCACCTTTTATTCCTCACAGGACAACGATGGTAAAGGCGACGCATGCGATGAAGACGACGATAATGATGGGATTCCTGATTACGGGAAACAAACAGATAATTGTCGTCTGATAAATAACCCGAATCAACTTGATGACGACGGAGACAATATAGGAGATGCGTGCGAAAACGATCAGGTTTTTATCTTAGATTTTTGTTGTGATTTCCCTTAACGAAGCATAATGTCATGATGCTGTTTTTTGAACGACATTAGCCTTTTTCCTTACAAGCATCACTGGTATGTTGAGACCTGAAATTTGAAAGGCCGTAGAATCTCCGGTACTCCCGTAGTATGTGTACCAGGTGAGGGTTAGGGCATAATTTGATTCCGATTTTCCTTATTTTAGTTCTGTTACGAGTTCGGAGACTGTCTGTGTTAGCCAGGTGAATATCCCCCTGCCCATAGGCTTCTGTCCCTTCACACAACTTGGTGTAAAGTGGGCGAACAAAATTCAGTAGGCGAACAAAACACTTCTGGAGCGACGAATTTCCAGTCCTGCATTATATACCTAATTTATATTACACCATGGAAATCGATATTGGAACTCCAATCTAGCAGACCCTTCTGTCAGTCTGTGTGTCTAGCTGTAGCGTGTAAACGGCTGGACCGATCTGAATGGTATTTCTCACGTGGGTTGTTTTGTCTTTCTAGCAATGTGCGTTTTTCTAGCAATGCGCACTGAAAAGTCCGATGTTTCGTTTCTTTTCCATGGCAGACGCGAAAAAACGCCCTGTAAAAATTTTACAATGTTTGCTTTATTTCAGGACGGTGACGGGGTGGTCGACTGGAAAGATGTTTGTCCGTATAATCGGGATATCAGCGTCACCGACTTCAGGTCTTACCAAAAAGTCATGTTGGATCCTGATGAAAGCGAGGTCGAGCCAAGCTGGATCGTCGCCAACGAAGGAATGGAGATCACGCAGAAAACTAACAGCGACCCTGGGCTACTAGTTGGTGAGTCAAGATGACGCAAAACCTGAAACCTAACCTGGTACATCTACTATGTTCAGGTTGTGCGCCATCTTGATACAAGATTACGTTGGATATTACTTGACAGTGGCGTACAATAGCGCTGTAAACCGTGAAAGTTGGGAGGATGCAATCGCAAGCTATGACCTAATGCTTACATAGAGGTTGGACCTAATCACAGGGGCGTGTCAAACTTTCATGCGGCCCAAGGCGAGTTTCTGATAATGCTGCCTCTTATACCTAACTTCAAACAAAATTCGGGGGATAAACAAATTATAGATGTTGTAACACATGACAACAAATAAGTTAAAGGCGGGGTAAGAGTGAAATGTTTATCAGTATTTAAATTATCAAAACTATGCAACAAACTCACAAGTACAACGTGATGCCTATGGAAGGCTGCCTCTAGACACGCCCTTGCCTAATCATGTTCACAACGCCGGTTAAAATCTCGACACCCAGGGTGTGATATATTAAGTAGGAAATGAAGAAGTGGAAAGATTCTACTTCTCCCAAAAATAGTAGCCCACGGATGTTCCCCAAGAGCCGGGAAAGCGTTCATGAAATTTTTGTGGCCGCCTATACAGGGCCGTGTTCGTCGAAAAACATCGCATAAAAATTAGTTAGTTTATGACGTTACAGTTGTACACAGAGCCTCTTTCGACGGCGAAAAAAGTCATTCTGTGATGCCTTGTTTTCTCTGATTATTTTTTCTCCTCTACTAATTACCTTTAACTGAGTCTGAGTGACGCTTTTGTCATATAATAGGGCTTCTCATATACTTTCCTCGTTTTCAGGTTTGGACTCATTTGACGGCGTTGACTTCAGTGGAACGTTTTTCGTCAACACAGCGAGCGACGACGATTATGCCGGATTTCTGTTCAGTTATCAGAGCAGTAGGAAGTTTTATGTTGTCATGTGGAAGCAAACAAGCCAGGAATTCTGGGACGATGAACCGTTCAGGGCTTTGGCGTTATCGGGACTTCACATAAAGGTAGGCTTATCATATATCTGACCCAAAATACCGGGACAGTGCGGATTGGACAAAATTTGATTCGATTCCGGGACTTAGTTACATCTGAAAGTTATATCTGCCTGAGAGTAGATACCAAGCATCAAGTTAGCTATAAATTAGTTTGCACGCCAAACATTTAAGAGTATGGCATCATCCTTGAAAGTTAAAATACCTTTTCAAGTCTTCTTAGTCGTTGATATTTATAAAGACAAATTCGCAGAAAGATTTCAGTTATGTTGATTGAACAAAGTGAATATAAATATATTAGTCAGTGGTTCTGGCAGCGTGAATCTACTCAGATATGAGTTTTTTCTTCTTTTTTCCATATTTATCAATATATGAAACACAGTTGATCGGTACAGCTACAGCGTTATTAATCACTAATCATAAAAAAAATCCACAAGTATAATCATATATATACTATCACATATATTTAAAATTTTCCTTTTTGATTATGATTCTTTATTTTGCCATTACTGTATGCAATAAACCGTTAAATTTCCCTCACTTAATTAATACAGATATGAGATATGAATTTTGTTTGAACGCGCCACCATAATGCTGTATAGCAGCGGTTCTCAACCGGGGGCCCTCGGCCCCCTAAGGGGGCCACAGAGGAGTTGGGGGGGGGGCACAAGGATGAGCTGAAATCTAAATTTACTTTTCACTTTAAAAGAAATCTCAAAGTTTTTTTCAGTTTGCTGCTCAACAAGGTTATTTCGCAGGGTGTCTTCGCTCTCTTTTGTGTAAATGCTGCAAATGCAGTGCTAAAAGCTTCCGAAAGGGGGCCACGAGTCATAAAAGGTTGAGAACCACTGCTGTATAGTTTCATTATCTCTTGTCATTCCGGTTGTGGGACCGTAGCATTGCTCAGAGACGAGTCTACTTCACTTCCGAGTGAGTACGTTCAATGCACCACCATACTTCTATATAGTCTTAGTAACCCTTGACAAAGGCATAGTCAAGTATTTTCAAATGTGGGGGCTGAAATTTCTAATTGCCAAGTTAGACCGAAAATGTGGGTTTCAGGAACTTGAGGGTTTAAAAATCGTTTCAAGCTTCAAGCTATGTATGATACAGGAGAACGCCCTTTTTTTTTTATACATTTCAAAAAGAGGGTTCGACCCGCATAACCACCCCTTGGGTACGCCCCTTGGCATTGCATTGCATTGGTTGCTCGTAACATCACTTTGAGATAATTGAAGTCTCATTACCAAGCTGTGGTGGCTTGTTCATACCTTTATTCTGTTTCAAAGGCGATATAGTCTCAATGTTTAACAAATAAACTTAATTTTCAGGCAGTGGACTCTGCAACCGGTCCAGGGCCAGATCTCCGGAATGCTTTGTGGCATTCTGGTGACACACCAAATCAGGTCAGGACAATATGGTCGGATCCAAACAACGTAGGTTGGAAAGATAAGACTGCTTACAGATGGGAATTGAAACACAGGCCAGAGACAGGGTATATAAGGTGTGTACAAAGATTCTATAAACCTGCGTCGCTAGGCAAGTCGCTAGCAATGGCGACTAACTATGTGTGTATTTTTCTCTCCTTTATTGGAAACGTTAGTGGACATAACGATTGTTTTAATACTGTGTTGTTGTTCTTGTTTTTTTTTCTTCTTCGTCATGATAAAATCGCTTTTCTCCTCAAATACTGGACCAATTGCTTTGAAATTTTCAATGGTTGAAGATTGATTTTTTTGCCAGGAGGCTATTACTTTTATTTATTCCTAAATCATGAGAACACGGGTTTTAATCCGCCAAGCGTGACAGCCTATTCCAAAAATTCTCGCTACTCGAAACTCGGAAGTTTTCGAGGTTACCGGTACCGTACCGACAATGCTGCTTCGCTTGGTGTCAATATATTTGTAGACTGTAGTATCTGCTGTATCGTGTCCATATATTTGAGCATAGCTCTTTTGTTGTTAATGTACTACCTTTAAGTACTATGTACTTTCAGTAGATATTGGCGTTTTAGTCACCAAACATAATCTATTTACTTCTGAGTGAGGGCCCGTGATCTTGCTCTGAGAGAATTTTTCGAGAATCTTTGAGCGACAGTAGATAGATAGATAATTATTTATTTCCGAATATTTCATAACATATAAGTACATATTGCAGTAAAATAAATCAATAAGCATGAAATATAATCGGAAGACTTCAAGGTCATCGAACAGGTCGACCGACCAATCAACGCAAGACTTAAAATCCATCTAAGTCCATATTGTCAGCTAAGTGGTAAGAAGTTACTTGTTTCTTGTTTTTGAAGAAAAACTTCGTCTTGATTGTGCATTGAAAGAAAATGGTTGAAATCTCAGAGTAAAGCGATAAACGATTAACCAGTTCCAAATTTATTACCTGCTCACCTTAAACTTAATACGCACTTGTTCAGGGCGGAAAACGAATGTACAAACAAGATAATCCCGCTACGAAATTCAAGAGTCCTGCTGCACACTAACGCAAATGTACACAATGCATAAATACATTTGTGTTATTGTGCAGCAGAATTCTCGAATTGCATAGTGTGATTATGTTTATTCCCGCTAAAGCATTCTTGCATTATACGCATCCACTACCCTAAAGCCAGGGAGTTAGTCTGGCCGCTAGACTAGCGCAGGGGTGGGCAAGGATTTTTTGACCAGAGACCAAAAATTTTGTCCACCTAGACTGGCGAGTCATGTTAGTGTGACATAAAAAGTTACCCTTTGTGAACGATATTTACAGAAGCAAAAATGGAAAACAATAAGCCTAGTGCCAAAACTAAATTTATATGCAAACTCAACAAATTCCTAGATTTTTTTTCAGCTAGAACATCAAAATTTGGTTTTAGTTTGGTTGTTGTAGGATCAGGCGGACCAGATCGAATTACCCAACGGGTCGGATTCGGCCCGCGGGCCATGGTTTGCCATGTCAGCTTTAGCGCAACTCCTATTGATAGTAAAATAATCTCTGATGCTTTTTTTCAGGTTGAAATTCTATGAAGTCAACAAACTAGTTGCTGACACAGGAGCAATCATAGATAACACAGTGAAAGGCGGAAGACTTGGTGTGTTTTGCTTTAGCCAGGAAAGAATTATCTGGTCCCATCTGAAGTACAAGTGCAATGGTAAGTTATGGTATCTCTTCCCAGAAAGACATAATCCAGAACGTAATGAATGTTTCCTCGAGAATCGATTTTCTTTTTTATTTCTGTAACAATGACCAATCTGCAATAAGTATACGATGATTTTTTGTAGCCACCCAGAGACTTCACTTCGTTCGCTTAGACAGATATTCAAGCATGATTGTAAACATTGCCTCGTTTTCGTTGTTTTTAGTGTAATTTGTCAGATTTCAGTTATGTTTTTTAAAATTGAATGTAATTGAAGTTATTTAATTGTTTGGTTTAGTTGCAGTAATCAAAAATTAGTCTCGGTTTTGGTCATGTAACTCAGTTTGATAGTCTAGCTCTCCAAAACATTCGCAAAATGAGCATCCGAAATTTTGCAATAGTATATATGGTATACGAGGAATTGTTTAGGAGTCAACGGTAGGGGAAACACCCATTGCAATTGGTGCTGTGAATAAAAATTCAAATCAGGGCATAATCGCAAGACTACCCGGTTCTTGTTGTATTATTTCATCTTCTCGCGTTAACCGAACAGCTTTTCTATTTTAGAGGCTTACCCTGAGGACTACTGAAGACGATAATTCAGTCATAACATTGTGACGACATACCTTGTGTGATGTCACAATAAATCAAAACGATTTGCAGACGACAGGACTTGTCGTCCGATTGTCAGACGAAGAAAGCTAAATGATTCAGGATTTTGGCATACGAAAACAAAATAGATTCATGTTCAAGACGTGTAAACGAGTTTGGTTGCTGCTTTTTGCGCGGGAACGTCATGTTAAAGCCATCAATATTTTCATTTCATATGCTCACTCAAGCATCCCGAGTCCCGTTTCCAACGAAACCATGTTCAAATCAATTCGTAGCTGGAAAAAATTTCACTCCGAACAAGTCTTGGTATTAGCAGCCATAAGCGCGCGCTATAAGTTGTGGGCATGAAGTTTTAGTATTATGAGACACTAGTCAGGTTTAGCTACCTAACCATTGATCCAGAGGTCCCAACCTTGTATGGCTCGTGACCCCCATTCAGGCGGCTTTTAGCACTCATGGCCCCCTAGTTATCGTTTCAGTTGTATTTATAGTGTTATTTTGATTGATTTGAGTCCAATTATTATTGGACATTATGTAATTCATGCTCAGCAAAGTGAAAACATTCTGTGAACTATCCTTATCAAGCAATGAAACTAGGTGAACGGAAGTTTTCTTGTAAGATGAGAATCAAAATCAGTTTTGCGCCTAGCTTTGTTGTATTCACGATGTATTTATTTCAATTGCTTTCGTTGTAATAGGACCCTCTTATGTCCCAACTCGAGTTATCTGAAGCATCGGAACATCCCAATATTTGGAATAACCTAATCAGTTAAAACGTCTTCAATTTTATTTATCTATGATGATATCAGATTATAATTTGGGTACTCCCGAAGTATGTGTACCAGGTTAGGGTTAGGGCATAAAATTTTATTCAGATTCTCCTTATTTTAGTTCTATTACGAGTTCAGGGACTGTCTGTGTTAGCCAAGTCAATATACCCGCTGCCCATAGATTTCATTCCCTTTAAACAACTTGATGTAAAGTAGGCGAACAAAATTGGTTACCTTCATAATGGTACAAACACTATTGGAGGCCCACTCGGAAAAGTAACTCCCAACCCAGTACTAAACATATTCCATAGAAGTCTTCCTACATAGGTGTTTTATATTTCCGTTTTCGAAGTTGAGTTTATTTTTTCGTTAATTTTATTTTTGTCTACATGCCAATTTTTATCTCCATTTTATGAATTCTTTCTCCATTGTTTTTATTTGCCTTTAATTAATACACCTCACATACATATTACTTATTTGTTTGAGTTAGGTCATCTCGCTATCGTATAAAAATGTGGATATATAGGATGTCAATGAAGTCCTAAAATGTTTTTAAATTGCAAAAGGAATTTATCGATACCATGTATTGTTTTGCCCTCACAGATGTATTGAATGTAGTAAAAATACTTGAACAATTACTGATTAAAAAAACACAAACCTGGTTAAGATATATTGAGAACTGACTTTATAACAAAATTGAAATTGTAAACGGTCTTTATGGACACTCTCTATGTCGATGTAGTAGTTTATGAAGAATTCTACTCGGGTTAAAGTTTTCATCTTCGCTGTCATACACCGTGATTCTTTCGAACTTAATATACGAGCACTAATATGAAATCAAGGGCGCTGTGGCAATAATGAAGGTAACCATTCTAAGTACGCGCTTATGGAACTACATAAACTTTCACAGACAAATTTACAATGGTGCTTTACAAATGATTAGAGTTGGTCAGATAATTCAAACCTTAAGAATAAATTTTGATTTCTTTCTCAAGTATCATCTTATACGCCTTACTATGAATGTTTGCAAGCATGAGAACTATTTCCAAAAAATATCATGTAAATCAATCAACCTTCAATTAGTAGTGAGTACCATGGCAACATGGAAAATAGTTTTATTATTTTTATTTTATACACATAGGGAACCAAAATCTTAAGTACTTAGTGCTTCTAAAAGGCATGATCAGGCCCTGATTTTAAGTGACCCTGGCAGACGATACGTTATTAAAAAACATTATGTTAGTGTGCAACAAAATTCTTCAATAATATACATTCAAAATATTAACTGCAAAACAGGGTTTGTTGATTCATATTCTTCGTGGCTTCTGAACAATAGTTCTGCTGTTGCCTGGATCAGTTGAGTAGTCAGCGTAAATATTTTTGCCAACCTCCGGCGCAGCTTTAATTAGAATGTTGCTCCCACTTGAAGATGCGATGCTTGATCCGGAACCAAAACGTTGGTGAACTGAGGTGATTGGTCTTTTAAATCGACTGAAGTAAAAAGGGTTTTAATAATTCTTGTTATTTAAAATTCCCAAGGAAATGTGGAAAAAGAGAAAAGTGAAGTATGTGGATTATCCGTCTTCAGTATGACTGTTAGATTAAGACTAAAATATCATATATGAAGCTCAGTTTAAAGGTTTCGCGGCAATAATGACATATCGCCTTCAGCCAATCAGGTTACTTGATTAACAACTAAATTTTGAGAAAAAAACTAAAAACTGACAATTAACAGTCAAAACCAGTATATGATACAAATTTCATAACCACGCTTGAATGTCTGTCTGAGCGAAAGAAGTGTCTGTTGCAATTAATTGTCACGTCATTTTTAACGAATAGCTGATTGGTCATTGTTACCAATATAAACGAGGACATCGATGCTCAAAGAAACATTCATATCTCACCTGCTGTAAACTGAGACACTTTCAGATGACGTTGATAGCGTTGGAGCCATTCTTAGTTTCCTAGACTTTGCCTCCTGAAACAAGAAAAATTTAATAAAAAAGAAAAACAGATGAAACTGGAACTCGGTAGATTCACGTTGGCAATAGATATGTCAAGACGGACTATGGGCTTTTTAATTATTCCCGACTCGAACTGATAATGAGTCATAAAAGACAATTTAACGCAAAATGCGCGTTACTTAGTGGAACATCCACGACCTTTGACTCGAAGAATTTGAAATCACTTCTTTTAATTGAGTCTAGTAACAGCATAAAATGGTTCGACTCGCGAACTCTAACCAAAGAACTCCATAGATTCTTCAAGATATTAGATAATTACAAATAATAGAGCAAAAGGCACGAGTAAGAGTCGTATTACGTCATTATTACACCCCCAATTCGGAGCTGGCTACGCTCTTGCTTATAACTCTGTTTTATTTCATAACATTCTAAAAAAATGTTGACAAAAATTTTACATTTCTCGAGTTCTTCCCCTGCTCTTTGGTAATCTTCGACAATCTTCTTTTCAACAACAGCTTCGGTTCGCCATTTGAAATCTTTTTATGATATCGTCCTTTCTCAGAAACAGCTGGGGTGTCATCTTCTTTAAGATCTCCAAATTGTGGCGTCATAATCCTTTTGTTGCTCGCGAAAGACACTTTCGTCGTCTGCTTCTTCATATTTAAAGCGCATCGTTTCAGATTTTCTAATTCTGTTTTAGACAGAATGATATTGTTTTTCAAAATCTCTCGAGTCCAGTTCTGACTATTTCCCGCTTCTGTGAACTTCTCCTTCGGGTTCATCGCATTGTCGTTGCATTGCATATCTTTCCATGCATATTTCAAAGGCCTTTGATCATTCGCAAGACCGTTTTGGAGGAAATTTTTCAAACCTGGCCGCATGTGCCTTGCATTTACTACTTTACGTTGCGTTGTGCGAGGAGGTGTTGGAAGTAAACCACTGGCATTCGAAGGGATTTTATTGTATTGTGCGACGGCACTACTTTGTTTTTCAGTAATTCCATGGTTTTCTAGTTTGACGTCGGAGACTGGTCCGAATGCACCGTGTTCTTTCGTAAGTTTTGTCGCCAGCGATGTGTTTTTAGTAATGCTTCCTTGCTTTGAAGAATGCATTTGTGATGTAATAATCCGTTTGAGAACAGCAGATGACTCTTTTCTAGCTTCTACATCTTGGGTCGCTTTCGTTACAGCTTTGGCAGGTCTAGTTCTAATAAATTTGAAATCTTTCTTTTCTACAGGGGGAGGTTTGGGATGGTCGATACGGGGCGTTTGTACTTTTTCTGGAATTTTTTCGTCATGCTGAATTTTTTGAGACTGATCGCGAGCGCAACCAACTACAGTTTGTGGCATATTTTTATAGTCAATCCTTGGGAGTTCAGATATTAGTTTCCTTATAGAATGGATGCTTGATATTGCTCTGACATTGTATCGTGACTTCACGCCGGCGATATCAGTCTTATTGCTGGTAGAATCTCCATGAATTGCACAAGGCAACGCCCAGAAACGTTTACTCGATTTGATGTCTGATTTTCGACGAATGTTCGCTGAACTGTCTTCTTCGCTGACGACACCACTGTCAGTTTGTAACTGTTAAAATATTACTGTTATTGATTCCAGAATGGTAATATGCTGATAAAGCATTATCCCATCTTTCCCTGTTTATTCTTTTAAATTATCCTAACATCACACAAACGGAATTAAAGAAAACCTCATGGTGGAGCAAAAAAGAATAATACTATACTAGAAGTGACGCGGGGTGTCTAAAACGTGGATGGAGCTGGTATGGCAAAATGTAAAATATGGAAAATGTAGAGGCTATAGGACCAGAATAACATTGACATAGAAAAGAGGGAAATCACAAAAAAGAAGACGGAATTACAGAGTGCGATAGGCAGTTTTGTAGATAAATATGAAAACCTGATCTGGATTGACTGTCATCCATGAATGATTCAGAATCTCGGTCACTGTGATTCGTTCCAGTGGATGACACCGTAGCATTTGACGGATTATGTCGCAACAATCTAATTCAAAAAAATAAATTAGTAAGTGAATGGAAAATATTGTTGGCGTATCCGTGCTCTTGGATTTCTAAGATTTGAAGCGATTTTTGTTTTAAGTTGAAAAAACGCTATGAATGGGTCTGTGTTGTTTTTAATGCACATAGATAATCAGGGATGGCCAAAACCGAATAATTTTGTATTTCTAATACATTCTAAAATGATCTTTTCGAATATGAAATTTCGAATTTGTTCTGAAATAGGGTCTGTTCCGCAAGAGAAAATTCGACAAAACAATTGTAAATTCGTAGAAATTATATCCGGTTATACAGAATAATTGGGAATTGGGATTAACATTGTGACTTATCGATTTCATTACTTATCGATTTTAATCGGTAAGTATGTTGATAGGTATTTGTCTGTCTGTCTGTTAGATGCACGCGATATCTCACGAAGGCGTGGTTGAATCTGCTCCTGATTTTGCATGTGCATTCATCATATCTCGGACCAGAAGCCTATTGATTTTGGATGAATTATGTCGTATAATTAGCGAGTTATTAATGAATTAGTGATGGGATACAAGGTGTCACTATGGAGTATGCGCGCTGTTTTGGGGGATCCCCTAACTTCCGATCGATAAGACGTCGGTCTCTGACCGACATTCTCGTTTCTATTTTATTCTGTCAGAAGTTAACTAATTTTTTGTCTATCATAAGACAATAAATGCATAAGAAAACATTTTCACATAAAAATATTCGAAATTCCTTCCAAAATCATGCATTTACTAACTCGAATATGACTAATTTCGAATGTATTCGAATCATCGATTCAATTTGGACATCCCTGGAATACAATTATCTGTTTCGCGATCATAGGTTTCACGAAGCAATTAGTGTGTTCTGGATAACACTACACTATACAGATTTATCGCTTTAGCTATAAAGATGGTACTTGAATTGAAGTTGTTGTCATTGATCAAATTTAAAATGTCAAACAGATTTGTTTGAGGGTTATGTTCTAAATCAGGAGTGTGCAACATTTAATACAGGACGGCCAGATAGAAATAACTGGGCGAAACCACGGGCCATAGGTTATTCGAGTTGTGACACAAAAATTTTGGTTGGTGATCGCGTTGTTCGCTTCGCACAAGCTAGCTGTTAGGGCATTGTAACGTCATAGGCATAGATAATAAATTGGACTCAGGTGTTGGCTTTGCTAAGCAAAGGTGCCAGAGAGTTAGATAAAAACTTGTTTCGCGGGCCGCACACCATTCAAAATTGCCACTTCTACGCGGGCCGGTAAATAACTTTTCCTTGTGTGTCGCAGGTTACACACCCCTGTTCTAAATAAACGTATGTACCGGTGACTGCTCAACTGCGCTTCTCGAATTAAGAACAGTTGAAAAACCGCGAAAGCATCCTTACCGTCACTGAGTCTGGATGAAAGTTCCAATTTCCGTTGAATACATTCACTTGATCGTTTGTTTTTCAGTTTTCGACGATGACACAGAACATACAACACTGCTCCTCTGGAGGAATAAGATCGTTGTTAATATATAAATAATTGTATAATATATATAAATTTTGAAACGTCAAAACACGTTTGTCTGAATCCTAAGTTTATTGGTGCGTTTATTGCGTAAAACCACAACAACCCCACATAACCGAAACCATCGCTGATATAATAAAAGTGTGTAGTTTTGAATCCTTAGAAGATGTAGTTTTGAATCCTTTGCAGATAGCCCTCGCCCATAAAAACACCCTCTCCAAAGCTCAAATTAAGAAACTTAGGTATTATCCAGTTAGGATGAAGAATAAGATAGCGAGCGCTCGGAATTCAAATGTTCAAATCATTCCGAACCCGACAATTACTAACGTTTATATTTTCGGTTTTTACTCAAATCTCACATTTTTTCATTTGGTGGCGGGGGCTTTCTACAAAAGATCCCGAGTTTTTTTTAAATAACGTTTCTTTTATTAGTTCGCTCCGAACAAGACCAAAGACGAGGGGCCACTGATATCCAACGATATATAAGAAGGAATGACCGAGGGGTGAAAGCAGGGGCGTAGCCTGAAATTCTCAAAGGGGGTGAGGGTCTGAAATTGGCGCTCCCGTAGTATGTGTACCAAGATGGCGCACAACCTGATAACCCTAACCTGGTACACATACTATGTTGAGGTTGTGCGCTATCTTGGTTCACATACTACGGGAGTACCCTGAAATTTGTAATTGGCAAGTTAGACTGTAACAGCTAGGTGGTATGGCCGGATGCCGCAAAACGCGAGTTTTGAGAATTGATGTTTTCTGACGTGAGCACATTGTTACATCACAAATTATATAGATCAGGGTGGTCCAAGGTTGTCAGGTCCGCGGGCCACAAAATTATTTTTGCATTGCTCACGGGCCACAATAGTGCCAAGAATAGGTAAACAGTGCAATTCAAAACAAACACGTTTAGTGTGCAAACACATAGTTATCAGACATAGCCATTCAAGGCTAATAGAATCCGCATTAGATTTTTAGTTTTCTATTGTTAGCATATATTCTCGACCAAAAAGGTAGAAAGCCAGATAATAATTTAGACTGCCAATCACATCATTGTCATAACACTAGTCAATTCAGTGACATTAATGATGTAACAATGTGTAAGAAGATTTTTCTGATTAATTTTATTACAAAACAACACGAAATACTATTTTTTGATTACTCTCTGAATTTGACGCGGGTCATAGATAATGAAGCGGCGGGCCACATGTGGCCCGCGGGCCTGGGTTTGAACCACCCTGATAAGGACAATGCGGTCACGTGTCTAGGTTGGTGATTTCGGCTGCCATGCACTTCGTTTGATTTACGTTGAACAATATTCCCGTTGACGCTATGGCCGTCAGTGAAATTTGCAACTTGCGGACACTAGCCTATAAGATTGCATGATGATATTGCAGTACAATATATGTTTAAAAATTTTATTGTTTAAAATGTTTATTTAAGCCTTAAATAAACATTGGTATTCGTAAGGTATACGAAGTTCTTGAAAAATTGTAAAATGTATACCACATAATAAAGGTTGAAGAACACTGGTATAAACCCCACTATTGAATGATGATTTATTTCTGTCAAAATAAAATAAAAACTTACAAACTCCATACATCTGCAGGTTGAGCTCTATATGCGTACGAATGACTTGATTTGAGTTCTGGTGCAGCGTAGTGAACTGTTCCGCATTTACCTGTCGTCACATCATTTCCACCTGGAGTGAACTCACAAGCCAATCCGAAGTCGCAGAGTTTGATTGTGCCATCTTCACCCAGTATGATGTTCTCAAGTTTGAGATCTCTAGGCGAATATGGAAGAGGACACCAAGGTTAATCTAGTCTGAACCACGATACAGCCACACCAAAAGGGGCTCCCGAAGTATGCGAACCAAGATGGCGGACATCGGAATGTAATATGTGTACTAGGTTAGGGTTAGGCCATCATTTTAGGTATAAATACTACGGGAGGCTCTTGGCTAGTCTTCGAACTGATAATAGGACTAAAATAAGGAAAATTGGAAAAAAATTATCGCCTAACCCTAACCTGTTACGTTCCGATGTCCGCCATCTTGGTTCGCATACTTCGGGAGCACCCACCAAAAACTATTAACAGTAATCTTGTTATTTTGTGAAACATCGCTGCGCTAAGCGACCGGTTTCAAACAGCTAATCCATTTCATAAGTGCTCGTATATTATTCCTCGTTACAAATATGACAATTTTATCTCGATAAAAGGGATGCAACAATTTCCAGTCGAAAACGCTTCTTTATGTTGCTTTTAGGATATTAACTCCCAATATATATAACTTACTAATGCAAACAAGTTCTAGTAACCTTACGAACAACCTCCGCTTACCTATGCGCTACTCCCTTTCCATGCAAATACTTCACCCCGTTAACAATCTGAACGAAGAAATTCCTCGCCATTTCTTCAGAGAAGAAATATTCTTGAATGCATCGAAGAAGTGAAGTTCCCGCGTATTCTTGAACAAGAAAAAGTAGATCTTTGGCGCGAAAATGGTCAAGAAGTGTCACCTGTGAAATACAGCTCACTTTTTAGGTGTACTGAAAACGAAGCATATAGGATAGGGTTTACATATTTATCTTGGAGGAAAAGAAAGCCGATAGGACGGCTTAACCATAAGGCAAACCACGGCTTAACTATAGACACGAGATTCAAGGACTTGCCCAACACTGTCGAATCATACGATGGAGAAAATAGTCATAACATAAATGCGAAGTAAAAGACTGCCTTCAAATGACGGCCTTAGAGTTCGACTTTTCCCTCCATTTGCCAATTTTGGACAATCTTATTCCCCCTCACTAAGCATGAAATCTCTTTTTCCCTCATTTGTTCAATCCTAATGGGCCTCACGCAGAGGCTACACAAAACTCGCGCTCTAGCTTTTGCACAGATTGAACAGTTCATAATACAACCAGAATTATGTATCACAACAAGAGAGCTACGCCCAAATATATGGACACGTCTGTTCGCAGTACAGTCGGTGTACCGTACCGTCAGATCACAGTCTACAAATATATTCACACCAAGCGAAGCAGTACAGTAGGACACAAAATGGCGTCCGATGTCCACAGAACGTTTCATGACGTCATAGCAAACAAAAACAAATCTCACAGAGCTAACAGAAATATTTAAAATGAATAAAAGTGATAGCCTTCTGGGGAAAAATTTTATCTTCAACCACTGAAAATTTCAAAGCAATTGGTACAGCACTCGAAGAGAAAAGCGGTTTTTTAATATTTCCACTAGGTGTATTATTCTGTGTCAAATAACAACAAGAACAAGAACAACATAATATTGAAACGATCGTTATGTCCACTAAACGTGTCCAACAAAAAAACTATCGCTATGTCGACTACGTGTCCAATAACTTTGTGTCAAACCACGCTTAGTACAAAATGAAATCTCACCCCAATAACATCAAAATTCCCCCACGGTTGGGAAACGTTGGGTTATACCAGGGGTGGGCAAGGTTCTTGGACCAGGGGCCCAAAAGTTTGCCCACTCAGACTGGCGGGCCATGTAAATGTGACGTAATAATTTACATGTGATCGCAAACGAGGCGATGGTGTGAAAAGCACGTCGAATCGTGTGAGCAAGAAAACGTAGTTTTGTTACCGTGAACATGAAAGTCTGTGGCAACCTAAAATACAACTCACACAGACTACGATTATAATCAAACAAGCCTATTGCATACTGAATCAACGGGACGGATTTGCACCGCGGGCAGTAGTTTTCCCATGCCAGGTTTTCTACTGCAGACCAAATTTTACGTTTGCAGCGTGCGAACTGGTCAAACAACGCGCTGCGCATCATAATCAGAATAGACTTTCTTTTGCTTCAGCTGTAATCCGACAACAGACCAGAATAACATCATGTTTGTCAGTTGCAGCTTGAATTCAAACAACAAATCTCCAAACACAAACAACTTGTTACCAAAACTTTTTATTACGAAAAAAGCAAAACAGTTATCAATAACAGTACATCGAACGAACGAAATGGAAAAAATTTAAAAATTCACATCACACATGATTAAACCCTGGCATAATAAAAAAATAACATCCTTACAAAGTTACGTGCAACCACTGAAATAATATTAAGAGTTGATAAATCATTGAAAAGGTGTGATGGAGCTAATTTATCAAACAAAAGAGTCATATTTGCACCAAGGATGTGAGAATCTAAATAGCTAATTTATATGCAATCTTATATCACAATTAGGATGTAATTTTAAAGGGTATGGTGAAATTTACTCGCAGGAAATCATAAAAGAAATCCGGAATAAAAATCTTAATATACATTAAATGATTTTGGTCCAATATTATTATAGATGGGGACATATTTCGGAAAATCAAAACCTATAATTTTTCCAGAGTTTTAGATTCATTCAAATTGAGTTCCTCAGACATTTTCATTTGCACCAATTATAACACATAGTTAGAAAAATGAAATTAAGCTAGTAAAATATCTAAAATATTGACACAAGTCACAGAAAATCCGATTACATGTAAAATACAATATCATAATGGAATAATCAAAGCACGTACAATAAAGTAAAAAGAGCCATTGAATGAGTTGATGTGACTACTATGTGATTGTTGCATTTTGTTTTAAAGTACTTTTACATCTTTTTCTAAATGCACACAGACAGTGGAACTAAAACAGCATGTTTGTATTGAAAATACGGTTGTGTTACAAACTTCCTCTCAATACAAGTAATGTGAAAATATTGGGATGCTGTTCCATCCACTAACCAAGATGGAAGCAATTGAAACATGGTTTCTGATCCAAATCAAATCAATATCCTATTCCTAAGTACAACAGATAGACAGCAAAAACCATTTTGAAAATATAAATCAAGTAACCAATGCCATATCTTAAAATGGAGGACAGTCATGTTCATACTTGAAAAAAAATTGAACATGGTTTTTGGATGAATGCGTGTGAAACACTAGCTTGGTGATAACATGCGATAATAAATCAAATATGAAAACTAGAGTCGATGTACAAGTAAAACACAGATGTTCTTACTTGAATAGTTCAAAATTGCAACCAAATTCAATTTTAAATATTTTCACACACTAAATCAGGGCTACTAAACTATTTTTACCGAAGATCCGCATACAAAACTTCAAATTTATTTGGGTCCAATATTTCCAGAAATTATATTTCGGTATCTCTAAACGCACACTTCCTCGACCGGCTAATGATTATTAGCTAATCAAGATTGTATATTATGGTGCTATAGTTCTTTTCATATGTAATCAAAACTATAAAAGTCATTTTATAAAGTGGGGCTAATGATCCAAAATAAAAAATTAGATGTAATCCGAATCAAATACTCGGAAGGTACGAAATCGGACTGCGGTCCGCCAGTTGAGTAGCCCTGCCTTAAAACATAAAAAGAAATTGTAACAGCTAAAATAATTATATATGACAGTGCTACATGTTTCAATTATGTATACTGTATACAGCTACTATATCCAAGAAGCATTTTGGGTGGTCAAACATGAAAACTGATTTCAGGCCATTTCAGAAAATGTCATTACAAGCAGGATTCAATACAACTAAAGGATCGAACATTGTTGAAAATATCCAACAAGTACCGTTTTTTGAAATCACATACAGATTTGTAAAAACCGTTTATTAATTTATTCAGTAATTTGAAATTAAATACAGAAGACCAGTCATGTTTACACTTGGCAGACAATGACTGATTGAAATGAGTTAACTCACTTACATATCAGTAACCTAACTTTGTAAAAATAGTGCTAATTGGTCAACAGCAGGGGTGTGCAAAGTGTGGCCCGCGGGCCGAATGCGGCCCGCAATGGAAAATTGTGCAGCCCGCGGAGAAGTGCCAATTTTGAATGGTGCGCGGCCATCTAAACTAGTTTTGAAATTTAGTTGGATCTGGTTTCCTTTGCGTTGCAAATCTCATATCCGAGTTCAATTTATTATCTATGCCTATGACCTACAGTGTCCTAACAGCGAGGCGAACAACGCGATTCACAAAGCTGTCCCTTGCTGAGCAGTAAACAATTTAAGGAAAATGCGGTGAATGAATTTTTAAGAACGGGCAATTGAAGATTAGGCAACTGGAAAGCAGTTTAAAAAAATTTAATAACATATAGATACAAAAGCTAAATGAGTTTTGGTTCCAGCCTATCAATTGATTTGGTCTAAATCTAATCTAGAATAAGATTTGACAGAAAATTATTTGACAAAAATTAAAAAAGTCATGGCCTCAAATATGGCACTTTCCGGTAACATATTTATTTCTAAAATGCGCTATTTTGTGCCAGCAACTAATAGAAAGCCTATGTTAAATGACGGTCCGGCCCGCGGTTTCACTCAGTTATTGATATTTGGCCCGCCTGCGAAAAAGGTTGCACACCCCTGTCTTAGAGCTCACGGAGCCCCTGAAAGGGGGCCACGAGTCATAAAAGGTTGAGAACCACTGGTCTACAGTATTAGAAGTAATGACAATGACAATACTATGGAGATTTCTTTGTCAATCAGAATTGTGCTGAATACAACATAGGCAATAGATTAACCATTGAAACTATCAACAGAATGTAAAAGAAATATAAAAAAAATTATCATCAGGACAGTATCATTTTTTTATTGCTACACTACATTATCAGCTGTACAGAGATATAAGAAACATACAATAAGGATTAACAACATGCCCAAAGGCAAATCACCATATCTGGCTGTACAAGGTAAATGATTCTCCTGTGATAGGTAAGTAAATATTAACACATACAGAATTTTTCGTTTAAATTCGGATTGTTCATTTTGAATAATCATAAGAATGTAAAAATTGAACGCCAATACTATTTCATTGTACTACTTTCCAACTGCGCTAAGTTACGATATATGAAAAAACGCTAAGTCATAGAAGTCTTAATTTTTTTAAATTGCCAAGTAAATTTATCAATACCATATATTGTTTTGGCCCTCACAAGTGTATTGAATGAAGTAGAAATACTTGAACAATTACTGAGAAAAAAACACTAAACCCGTTTAGAATATATTGAGAACTAACTTCATACCAAAATTGAAATGGTAAAGGGAATTTTTTTGGACACCCTGTGTGATATAACTGTATTCATAAGTTACGATTGTGTCACTAGACAGCAGATCACAAAAAAGATTAAAACTGTACTGATTGATCTATGTATATGGACCTACTATTTATTTCAAACTGATTAAAAAACTTATTCAACAACGAAGTATTTTTTGATTGTGTTGAGATTGACTAACCAGTCATGTCGAATATAAATAAAATACCTGGATACATTTAAAATTGGTTATATTTGATATCTTAAATTCTTTATTTTAGAATATTCTCAGTTGTTATATTGATCTTTATTAAAGCATCTTAAAATCTGAAAATAATATTAAAAAAAGTGTTTTGACATAATTGAAAAGGTTTTGCCTCAACTATCTGCTTTTGCCAAATAACATACATAACAATTTACGATGATTTATGCAGAAAATGTTACAATTCGGAATATATTCAATATTCCAAATACTATTGCAAACTATGGGCTTTTGGGAATCCATGATTCTTTGTTTGATTTTCCATAGCTAGCAGATTTGCTATAATCATATACACTGCTGAGCTCACAAAAATATATCACTAATATGGGTCAAATAAAACAGTAAATTGACCTGTACATGAATTGGTTATATATATCCATGTATTTGAATAAAATTACTGGATAACTACTATTATACCAGTCAAGAAATAATCATAAGTCAGTGAAAAGGCCGTTTTTGACAATAGAATTAAAGCGTTTTATGACTTTGTTTACCAATGGGATAAATATGAACAACTTTATCCAAAAAAAATTTCTGTTTGATATTTCAGAATCAATACATTTTAAAATGGTACAAATCCATCTCATATATAAGCCAAATTTCAGAACTATACAACAAGCTGAAATTCTAGAGCAGTGGTTCCCAACCGTTATGGCTCGTGGCTCCCTTTCAAACGCTTTAAGCACTTATGGCCCCCTGTTTATAATATCAGTGGAATTTATAGTTTTATTTTGATTGACAGACGTTAAATCCCATTGTGTCCAAACAATTCATGCTCAACAAAGTGAAAACACTCTGTGAAATGACATTATCAATCAATGAAACTAGGAAGATCGAAGTTTTCTTGAAAAGGGAAAAGTAGAATCAGTTTTGCGACTAGCATTGTGGCCCCCACCAACTGATCTGTGGCTCCCTTGGGGGTCAAAGGCCCCGGTTGGGAACCACTGTTCTAAAGATTCTATTCTGCTATTCTAAATTCAATACATTTCAAAATACCGGTAACATAAACTCTTATCCAAGTAACATAATCAGTTTTATTCATTTGACATTTCCCGTGCAAGAGTAAAAGCTATAGAAAAGCAGTTATTTTCAATATTTAAGAATTAAGAAGTTAATAAATTTTTCATTTGTTTTCATTTCCAAAGTCACCCACAAATGTGAGGCCTTCGAAAGAAAAAGTGATTAACAGCCCAATTATACCCGAGAGTTTCAGAATGCCGAGTATCACAATACAGAGATAATATCACACTTTAAAATCCATTTTCAAGTTAGACTTTCTATAAAGCTCATCGTGGTTTGAATACACAACTATTTTCAAGTATAATGGTTGTTATCAAGTAAAATATGGTGTGTATTTTGCAAGGGAATGAAATAAAGCCTCAGCAAATAACTAGAGTTTGTATACAGAGTACAAATTATAAAAAAAAATAGGTGCTCCCGAAGTATGCGAACCAAGATGGCGGACATCGGAACTTAACATGGGTAACAGGTTAGGGTTAGGCGATAATTTTTTTCCAATTTTCCTTATTTTAGTCCTTTTATCAGTTCGAAGACTAGCCAAGAGCCTCCCGTAGTATTTATACCTAAATTTATGGCCTAACCCTAACCTAGTACACATATTACATTCCGATGTCCGCCATCTTGGTTCGCATACTTCGGGAGCCCCAAAAAATAATTGTTCGGTGCAAATTGTTTGTAATTAAAAGCAGAATTCCCTTTACAACAGTGGTTCTCAAACGGTGGGGCACGGCCCACAAAGGGGGCGTAGACATTTTTTGAGGAGGCGTGAAGCTGATTGAAAATAAAAAATTTGTCAGATTTGATCTTTCCCGCCTTATTTTGGACATTTAGGTACATTTCTATAGTTTGGATATTTACGTTCCATTCATGATTTTCATGAATAAAACATGTTTTTTTGAATAAAACATACTTTTGCCTTACTATCTGTTATTTGTAGCTCATTGTTAGCTAGTTATTTTTGAGGTGGGCGAGACTTGACAAATTCTAAAAAGGGAGCGCGGCTTAAAAAGTTTCAGAACCACTGCTTTACAATGTTGCGATGGATGGTCCGAATTTTTTCTGAAGCAACTCAAAGAGTTTGCATACACGCTCTTTGCAATAAATCAAAAATATATTGAAATAACACACAAAAAAAATTTGGCAAATTTGCCGTAAAACAAAAAATTTAAGACTGCTTTCACGTGGCATGGGCAGCTGGTACTAAAAACATTTCGCTCATATATGAAACTGATTGGTACCATGATTTACTGAATTACCAATAGCCAAATTTGACGTGGCACAAATGAAAAGAATCAATAAAGGGCTTGAATTCATATATAAAGAAACCCACAATGATATATATAATACCTTCAATACTTCAAACCTCAGAACATTGAAACAAGAATTTACAATAACATGGTGACACAATAATATATCAGAATATATCCTGGAAATTAACACATTCTTGTTAAAACCCACAAAAACCAGTCATAACTGGATTAAATCGGTCTAAAAGAGATATGACAATGACATTACTTCAAAGAATTCATTTTTGTATTGAATAAGAATGTTTTCTATATTTCTACAAAAATCAAATTAAAAGCTACATGTAACCTGATAAAACTAGCATACAAATGAAATATATTGCAGTCTACATGAAAAAGTTTATTTGTATTCGTGAGACTTTGGAAAATCATGCTATTCATATATGAAGATGTGCATAAAATCACCTAGAACCGGTTCAAACTGGTATAATGTTAATAATTTGAAGTTTGGTTGAACACGAGTGGGCCTATGGAACCTTTTGCTAAATTGCTGTTGCTGTGTGAAAAAAAATTTCTGCGAATATGGAATATTTGATTTTAAAATTTTGTTTTATTCTCAAATTTGTGCATAATATTTTATCCCAAATTTTGCGTTTTTGTATAATTATCTCCTTTATGCGGCAGTCAGTACATATCTTTCAACAGTTGATTGGGATTGTGCTTACATTGCGGCAGCCATATTGTTCTCTTATTTCGGACAAACTATGAAGATATTAGCAGAGATAAAAACATACACCGATTAAAAAACATCAAATAAAAACATAAAAGTAATAAGCTTATTAAAAAAGCTTTAGAGAAAAAACACAAGCTGGCAAATGATACCAAAAGTGAATAATTACCTCTGACAAGGTTACAAACACTCACTAGGAAATGAACAAGACCCATCTCTGAGCGAATTCGTAGCAACTGCGGAAATGCTAAACATCGCACCAATCTTCAAATATTTGTGACTCGAACCACAACGATGAGTATAATCAGATGTTCATCATTCAAAGAGCAAAACGCACAAAATTATCAATCCAATCTCTTCAAAATTCATAAAAAGCGTCACATATTGAATCTGGCATTTGTAACAAAGTTAGAGCATTTGTGCAAACTGCAAGTGACATTGAACAATGCAGCTCGTGATTTCTTACTCATAGAAACACTCAGATACAAAAAAAAAAGTACTGGACACTGGACAGACACATTTGTGAAAAATTACATTTACATTACATTTTGTGTACCTGTAAAGAGACTTGTTAGGAATGAAAATGATTAAAAGAAAATAAAAAGATCCTCTATCCCTGGTTGAAACCTGTAATCGATGATAATTTCAACAATGCAGTGATTGTTCGATCTCCTTATTCCCAGTGGCTGCTTACAGAGAACCTTGTTCGGAGATAATGTCCAAAAACTACTCATAAAAATGGCTATTCAAAACAGTCAATCACATCAAGCTATTGTGAAGTTCTAGAATGGAACATAGTATATTGTAACGAGCCTTATTTGAGGTGAAAACGACCATTGTGGAAAAAAAAATAGTATAATGCAGTGGCTGTGTGTTCTCCTCTTGTATCAGTGGCTGTTAGTAGAGAATCGTGTTTGTAGATGATGTCCAAAACTACTCATAAAAATTGCTATCCATACCAGTCAACCTGTTGTAAAGTTCTAGAATAAAACATACCGTAGTATATTTGAAAGAGCTTTGTACGAGGTAAAAATTCTTGAGAACAACTTCACGATGCAGTGGATTATTCTTAGGTATCAGTGATAAATGTCTCAAATGAAAAAAAAAAAACACACTGATGTTCATACCGTCTATAAAGCCTGATTTACAGGAATATACTCAGAATATTGTCACATAAAAAGTGAGTTCTAGAATGAAGTGTTTCAATTGAATCCATTTAAAATTAGTTTCATCATTTCTGGTTTTAGTAACCCTAGTAATTCGACATAAGAATAGGGCTGTCCAAAATCGAATATTTTTTTGATTCGAATCTAACTGACTAATATTGCACGATCCTAAATCTGTCTCTATCGTACAATAAAAACTCCCCTTTTGATAACGTTGGTGCAGTTACATCTAAATTACTGCTGATATTTTGCATAATTATTCGATTTCAAATGTTCGATTCACTTGGACAGCCCTACACGAGAATCGCAGAATGTATAGTGATTTGTCCAGTTTTGCCATTTATGATTCATCATTATGTTCAACAATGCAGTGGCTGCTAGTAATAAGCGTTGTTTGAAATATAATCAATGCATAAAAACACAGATTCAACAAATCATAAAGACCACTTTCAGTGTACTTTTCACATCCTCACTGTTGTCAAACAATAAAATACAAATGCCGTGTGGATTCGGAAAGTTCAACTCAATTTAGTATTCAAATCTATTTAAAACTCGATCGAAAATTAAAAATTTTAAAAATTAAAAAAGTTTTTCCAATGTTCTATGTTAAGGCCATTTTCAGAAATAAATCATTCTCGATTGAGTTGCTTCAATTCGAACATCAGAATGAAAATTCATATTGATTTAAAATTGGTGCTAAAAACTTTAAAACACTTTTCAATGTTCTATGTTGAAGCCATTTTCAGAAATAAATCGTTCTCGATTGAGTTGTTTCAATTCGAACATCAGAATAAAAATTCATATTGATTTAAAATTGGTGCTAAAAACTAAAAACACTTCTTCTATATTGCAGATCATGATCAGAAACAAATCAAGTCGAGATAGGTTCGAGATTCAAATATTCCAATCCAAACATCAAGTTGATGTTACAAAAAAGGATGTCTAAATGGAATTGAATCTCGTATCAAAACAGGAAATATTGATCGGAATATTGATTAAAAATATTTCTTCCACTGTTTCAGTCCACATTCAGAAAATAAATCAAGTTATTTTATCAAGATTGAAATGTTCCATGAGACATCAGAATCAATGTTACAATCACAAACTATGATATCCAAATGAAATTGAACAGTTGAAACAATTTAAGGACATCGATTCAGAATTGAAAATGTCAATCAAAAGTTCAATGTAAAAGTGAAAATGTTTCTTGTTATCGATCAAAACTGAAACAATCAATACAAAATCAATATTACAGACTTCGATCCATTTCCCACTTAGACTAAACAACTCATTCCTCCATTCCATCCTTGATCGACTTGTATTTCTGCATCAAGATTTCCATTTTTCTTTCATGTTCCTTTTTTTTCATTTCATGCTCTTTTTCCATCATGATCATTTTCGTTTTGTGAGCATCTGACGATTTCCGGAACTTGTCTTTCAGTAATTTCATCTTCAATTTGTGATGTTGACGTGCTTGCTCCGATAATATATTAACGAGATCCGAACTAATTGCGCTCTTCTCAAAAGTTGATGTTCGCCCCATTGAGAAATCGTCGATATCATCAAAAATGTGCGGCTCCTCTCGTTCTGGGCTCATCATTGGACTACCTTGATCAGTACTACTGAGATAACCTGTAATACAAGGCATATTTATAAACCAGTGGTTATCTAAGTAGAAGCAGAAAAATAAAAGTGGGCCAGAAGAGGGAAGCGCCTGCAAGGGCCATTACCGGTACGTAAAATTGAAATACCAAATTGACAATTCCCCAAAATAAAATTGCTATGAATAAATGTGTGGCTCTCGAAGTATGCGAACCAAGATGGCGGACATCGGAATGTAATATGTGTACTAAGTTAGGGTTAGGCCATAATTTTAGGTATAAATACTACGGGAGGCTCTTGGCTAGTCTTCGAACTGATAATAGGACTAAAATAAGGAAAATTGGAAAGAAATTATCGCCTAACCCTGACCTGTTACGTTCCGATGTCCACCATCTTGGTTCACATACTTCGGGAGCACCGTTATTTCTATCAAGTTCGATGGGCCATATCAAATCGTTACGAGGGCCATAATTGACCGCGGTTTGGGAGCCACTGTTCTAAACTTTAGGCACTTTGCGTGAAAACTTCTGCATGAACAGGCCATTTGAAACAGTAATTGTAGGAAAATTGAATTTGATGTTCCGCGTCAAGATAGCTAAAGGACAAATACCATTCAAAAAAATCTTTTTCAGAAAGTTCAAAATCAATTATTTCGCGCTGAAATTATGATGCGAAGAACGATCAATTTAACATGTAAAATTTCAACATCTGAATATTTGAAGCAAATATACTTCAGAACACTAGTTTTATGCACTTGAACTTTTCAAATTGAAGATGTCGTCGATACGGGTATGAAGTGAATTTCCAACTCAATCCTTCATTATTTACTACATGACTCACTGGTTCCAATTTCTGTAAATTCCCAAGATTTAGGAAGATCATCAGCCAGAGATCGATATTCGTCAGTATGTTCTGAAGAAGATCCCAAGTAACCACTAGAGGATGATGATGAGGCAGTTGAAGACTTAGGCTTCTTAACTGGAGAACCGAGAGCTGAAATGAAATTGATCATGTTGAAAGAGAAAAATATACTTTAAAGGCACATGACGATATATATTGTTTATGAGGGAGAATAATCCAAATTCTTAAAGATGTGTACATATTCGGAAGTAAAGGAGACTCATCTCTGAGCAAAGTTACGGGTACTCACTCAGAAGTAAAAGGAGACTCATCTCTGAGCAAAGTTACGAACACTCACTCAGATGTAAACGAGACTCATCTCTGAGCTAAGTTACGAACACTCACTCAGATGTAAAGGAGACATCTGCAAACAAAGTTAAGTCACTCACTCAGAAGTAAAGGAGACTCATCTTTGAGCAAAGTTACGGGCACTCACTCAGAAGTAAAGAAGACTCATCTCTGAGCAAATTTACAGGCACTAACTCAGAATTAACGAAGATTCATCTCAATGCAAAGTTACAGCACTCACTGAAATTAAACGACTCATCTCTGAGAAAAGTTATGAACTCACTCAGAAGCAAGAAGTTACGGACACTCACTTCTGAGCAAAGTTACATGCACTCCAGAACTAAGGGAGACTCATCCTGAACAAAGTTACGGGCACTCACTCAGAAGTAATGAAGACTCATCTCTGGAAAGTTAAGGGCACTCACTCATAATTAAACGAGACTCGCCCTGAGCAAAGTTATGAGCCATCATTGAAACTTATAGAATTATTGTGGTGCATTACGGTTCATTGTTGCATGAGCTAAAATCGAATTTAATGTTGCCAGGTTTGCGATAATCAACAAATACAAAAAATTCAACAAAATGGTGTGAAAATGCAAATATAAAAGGTGTCATAGCAGATTTAATCAACGAAAAAATTTAAGATTTTATTTGTTTTATGATTTAATATAACTGTAAATATTATTCTAGGATATTTATGCATTTTCCCCCTTCCTCCCCGAAAACTAATATTTTTTCTGTTTCTGTGGCTGAAATAAATTTTATGTAGTTAAATATGCCTCCGCCTTCAG